CTCTTCCTTTTTAGTTTCATGTTTCAACTCTCAAGCGCTTTAGTTTCATCGTTCCGAAGTCCGAATCCACTTATCTTATCAAACCTGACCACACATCCAAAGTGGAATACTTATCAGATCCACAACGTCTAACATTTGTCTGAGGTGCAACACAGCATGTACTACTATCAACAACTTCAGTTGCATCTCACAATGGACACACTCAGCCATCTTCCACCATGAGTTTCCCTCAGGATCTGTTCCCATTTGCGCCTATACCAAAGGAAACCGCGGAACATTTCTCCTTAACACCATGGTGTAAACCAATTCTCGAGGACAGCTCTATGCACCCCTTTTCACCTCGGTCGCGAATGCGCAAGGAACATCATACCTGTGATACATTTACGGCCATTACCCTTCAGACACCAGACACCATCTCGCATTGTCAATTTTTCTACTCTCCGCCTAACTCCTCGCGTTCGTTTGGCGAAGTTCTAGCGTTGATGAGTTTAGGTCCGCACGTTAATGGCCATATTGATACTGCGCATGGCGGATTCACTGGAGTCATGTTGGATGATATGATCGGTTGTGCAGCGTCAATCGCCAGGCCAAGGGATAAAACTACCGTGACCGCTTATCTACACATTACGTATAAAAAACCAATCGGGACACCAGGGGTTGTGTTGGGGAGAAGTTGGGTAGACAGGAAAGAGGGGAGGAAGATATTTGGGAAAGCCACGATCGAGGATGGTGAGGGCGTGGTGTTGGCCACTGGGGAAGCTTTATTTATTACGATGGATAGGAAAAAGCTGAGAGAAAAGCTGTGAAAGTTTCTATGTCCTGGTCACCAGCTACAACTCGATTTGATACGAATTGTTCAAGGACTCAACATCCTCAGACCTAGAGGCATACATCATTAATTCGAATTAGATATAGATGCCATCCAACTTTTAGATAACTTGGGATATAGGGTGATGTTAAATGGTTTAGACGTCAAGATGTTTCATTTATAAAAACTAGCAACACTCACTATTCTGGGCTCTAATGGCCTAAGGGCATACTTCTCTTTCTGTTTGCAAGAAAGACATCTTTCCTCTTTACTTTGATACTCTGTCTGATCTTCAGTATGTTTTATTCTACCAAGTCGACGAGCTTTGGGGCTATGTTTTTATCATTTCCTTGGATATTTGTATCATCTTTCTCCAACGAAGTTACTCAATATCTTCGCTTCATGTTTTTGCTCGTTTCTTCGAAAGCAGCATGTTCTCTTCACAAGCGTGAAGGAGTAGATCGTTTTGCGTTGAGCACAAGAAGGCACTTGTTGATTCTTTCTGCTGAAAGGAGTAACAAAGGACACACCACGGTAAAGAATCACCACATGAGGGATTCCAGCACCCCTTTCCTACGCGGAAATGCTGCGTGTCATTCGAATCATTGAAAACATCAGTAAATGCTTTGGGATGATGTTTCTATTCCCGACCTCATGACTGTCAAATGGGTTAAATTTTGCTTGTTAGTCATGATAGGGAGGAGGACGATATCATGCAATCAAAATTCTGATTTAATGTTCTAGAAGAATCATTGCTTCCACATAATGCAATCGAAGGGAATCGAAGCGTTCCATGTTCTAATTTGTTGCATGTCTGATTTTCAGCCACATGGTACCAGCCTCAAAAATATGCCTTTCGGTACTGTACCGGCACTTGGATATCTTAGTTTGAATGGCGTGAGTAGCGCATGTAGTGTATACCTTGGTGGAGAGTGGACTTGATTACTCAATTTGCATTTTGTGCCCGAAGGCTCACGACGGCATCTTTATGATTGATTCAGTAATCTCTCTTGGCCTAGAACACCATGACTCAATTGTTGAGTTCGTCTACATAATTATTTCCAAAGTGCGCGAAGTATTCTGCAGATGGAGGACCCCTCGATGTGTTGTGTGAGGTTGGACAATTAACACATCATAGGTTCGACACTGATACTTAGGGGTTCATCAAGATCAAGGTAATTGGTATTAGTGGCGGTATGGCTATCTGAACACTTGAAGTATATTTTGAATGAAAGAAGGACAGAAGAGAAAGTGAATAGAATAGACGAAGAAAATATTGACGTCTAACTACCTAGGTAGAGATTAACATAATCGAGGTGAAAAGAGTTCAATTCACTACAGGTTTGGATACGACGTGTCTATCCGAGTATTCAATACATTTCACGGCTTGGGTTGTTCTTTGATCGGTCTATGGCGTGGTATCTACCTAGGAAGTTTTGTACTGTAGATCTATTTAAGCATTGAGACCTCCCTCAACAATGCAACTTTGTTTTCCACCTATTCGATCAGTCATGCAATAAATTTATCAACTTTTATTAATCTGCACTGTGGAAGAAATGAGTTCGACGTGTCATCTGCAGATAATACTAGTTTAGTCCATACCAATCTCCGAAGCTCACCTTCTTCCTCAACAAAGTCTCTCTACTTCGAAACACTCAGACTTTTCTCAACCCGAATCTCACAAGTTGAGTTATCTAGTTACCATGTCACTAACACATTTACCTCCGGAGAAGGTGGGAATTATGAAACTTTCCACCGAACTCCGAAATATCATCTGGACCGAGGCTCTATCCATCAAGCAATCTCGATACATACAGTCATCTAAAAAATCGATACTTCAATCTCTGCGATTAACCTGTCGCACAATTTACAACGATCTCGAATCAGAATTTCCAAAAGAATATTTGCAAAACCAAACTTTCACTTTCCAAACCCTGGAATCCTTTCTCAAATGCGCCCCTTTATATACTCGCGCAGAACAAGTCCTCCTCCGATCAGTCCATATTCAATTCTACGAGACCCCGGATTCCCACCGCTACAAAGATTCTCCTCAGGTGCTGTACACGAGACAAAATTTCTTACTCGATGAGATCCTCTTACCAAAATATCATGGTATAAACGAATGGATCTTCGATGTCTCCAACCTCTTTAACTCTCACCAAAGTTTCTCATACCGTCACATCACATATTTTCTCCGCTACTGTCCTGCGGAAAATTTGACCTTGATCTTCAATACCTGCGATGGTTCATTCATGAACTGTGCACAACCCCGCAAAGGATTCCGTCACGTAATTACCGACGAACGCACACTCAGCGAATTTGAAACCGACGCAGAGAACTTAGCGCAGAGAGCGCAGCGCTGGAATGGCGATGGTGAGACTAGTGAGAAAACAAGTCGGGATTCGACAGTGCTTATTATGCAACGTCCGACTCAGCTCCCACGCGACCCGAATCCGGATATCCCGTATTGGAAATACAACAAGCTGGATGATCCGAGAGATCCGTGGTTGGATATTAAGAAACATGCAAGGAATAGTATTTCGCATGGTACGAAGTGGAAGATGGAGACGTGGAAGAGGGGGAGGGAGAGGAGGGCGGATGCGAAGGATAAGAGGAGTGCGGGGTTGGTGAGGGTGGTTAGGGAAAAGAAGGAGGTGGTGATTTTGAAGCTTTTTGAGGAGAGCGGGTTGGATAGGGTTTGGGTTTGAGGGGGGATGTTGGAGGTTGGAGATAGTTAGATACCTTGGTACTTATTTGTGATGTGAATGGATTTTGGTGGTGTTGTTTTTGGATTCGGAAAATGGGGATACTTATTATGAAGACGCTTCTTCCCTCGCCGAGTCAACAGAGAAGAAGAAGAGCACGCCTCAATCGCTGATAAGATTCCACGGCATTACAGTCTTTGATAGAGTAATCTTTCATTATTCCTAAGAAAAAGAATTCTCTCCCCAAAGAATTCTTCAACTCCATGATAGCTATAACATCCATGCAAGTGATGTAAGATACACCTGTGAATCAAAAGCACCCACAAACGTGACTTCACCAGGTTTAGTAAACATCAAAGCGCCAACTTGTGTATGTATCGATACGACGACATCACTTCGTTCGAATAAGACATATCTTGATTTTTACCTGGGGGTTTGGAATGCATGATGGTTACTTCGTTGTGACTTCTTGAAATTCCCCATCAAGTTTGTCCCTCACCGTCTCGATTTTTGACGGCAACCCGAGGTTCCGAATCATTGACGGCTTAGACGAATTTCAGAAGGTCCAAAAGCTATGTTGTATCGCAATGGTCTCCAAAATTTGACACCGGCTACCGTGGTGATTGTTCAGTTGCGCAACTAACCTGAAGATTGTCAAGACCAACGCATTATCTTGATACTCTAGCCTACAATCTCATCTGGAAAATGTATAGCAGTTACATTATCTTTCACCCCGACAAGAATTCATTTGCTTTCCTTGGATGGAAGAATGATCAATCTTCATCACTACTGTTCTTACTACATGTGTATGCATGACTTGCTAGCTTTGAACTCCATCGAGTCTTTTCCTTCAGGAGCGAATGTCTAGACGATTCAGGCAACCTAGAGGACGAATATATCAACACCAGAGAGGGTATTTTTGTGAGGAAGTGCCCACCATGGTAATAGTTTTCGCTGTTTTCACTGTTCGTAAGGAAAGAGCACATGGGCGAGTTTGTACACTAGGGTGCGGACTTTCTGTATTCTACGTACATTGACATGGTGAGTCTTTCAGGATTGACTTTAGAGAAATCGTTCTTGTGGGTGTGGAAGGTGTGGAATTTTCAATGATTTCGATCTAGCTTGTATATATTGACTCAGTCGCACCTTCAACATTTCCAAAGTCAACAGTTACAAAAATCTCCCTCTTACAAAAAAAGAATATCTCATCTTCTGCACATTGCTAAAGGCCATCAATCGTTCATCAAAATTTCATCCGACACCTCGATTTCTGTTTGGGATCTTACATGGGGGCGGGGACAGGAGGTATCTTTTTGAACCTCCATGGTAGAAATCACTGATAGCTTCAATTGTAATAATTGTTAGCAATGCAAATCAAAACATAAATATAAAGGCTTAGACTAGTCTAATAAGACATGATTTCGATTTATTTGAATATTTCAGTGCTGTGAAAGATAGTTCTAGATAGTCAGAGGGACTATTACATGCTATTCAGCCAAACATCTCTTGCACCTACAATCACCGGAGAGCCATCTCGCAAGGGCGTGTCGTCTTTTCATCTTTGATCGCGATGGTACTTCAATGTAACTGAGACAAACCTCTTCCCCCTTCTTAACTTCCCTCTCGGCGCAGTATTGAAACTTCGAGCCCTCCCGATCAAAGTCCTGGATGTGTGTACCCAGCATTCGCGGATCTTCGCAACTATGGTTAAACATTGCGTATAAGCTATCAACCTAGCATAGGTACTCGTCTTCTGCATTATACTCTCCAGCCGAGATGACTCTGAATGTTTGTCTGTGAGAATGTCATCAGTTATGTTGTTATTGTTGGGATAGCTGTTATGGCAAAGATAGATATACCACAGAGTTTCCAATACCCACGAATCATATCACTGATTCGCGAAAATATCTATCACAAGCAGCTCCAGAGTTTTAAGAGGCCGAATGATACGAATATCTCAGGACCAGGGATCCTGTGCAGCTGCCTCGTGACTACTTCGATTGGCTATAAGAGGGTGTTGAAGCGGATGTCCACCTCCTTGTTTGCATGTCGCTGAAAGCCGTAACTATATCATTCCAGCTATCTCGGGCCCACATACGTAACACTTTTTTATTTTTCGAGAACGTATAGATGGGGAGTATATTGGTGCCACATAATGCATCGTGGTAATACTGTTTAGCGAGATTTTTGCAGTCGAGACTGCAAAAGTAGAAATGGGAACAACATGCAAATCCATATTTTGGCCCGGAGTTATTTAGGAGTCTGCAACAATTGAAACAGTTCCCTGGAGAAGTTTGCGATCCAGTCTTCGCTTCTCCTAGTAGTGAATCTATCAAATTTAAATGCTTTCTTAGTTGTAAGCTACTGGTTGATAAGACTGGGCTGCGCTCGATAATGATATCACCTTTATGTATATCTCGACTTGCGAACATACTTTAAGATATTTCACCTGAGTCTGATACAGCTACAGTAGAAGACCGGATTTGGAGCACCTTTGAGCATTCTTTCATAGCTACATCAGCGGCTTTGATGGACCTTTTGGTTCTGGCATGGAGTGGAGTCCTGAGGCCCATGTATATGGTTTGTTCTATACTGTTCCCATCTCTGCCTTCATCCACTTGACATCATCGGATAAGGACTGTTCGTATATGGAAGTTCGATCCCTTTCGCATGCGGAGGTTGCAGCGTGCTGGAAATGGAGAAATGTGATATCGTCTGGGTATTGTTTTAATGCTTCTGCGCGATGCGTGCCCTGGTAGTATCTTTTGGACGAAGTTCAGTGACCACAGAACGAGAATCCATAGACTTAGCTGTCAAAATGCTCGACAATGAGATATCATTGCTGTTGCTTTTGGATCCCACATCCCGCTCGTGCTACGAACAAGCGCAGGCGGGTACTCATACGTGGGCAAAGCGTATGTCCATGACATCACAGAGAGAGGAATTATCAAGCCAGAGGCTAGAGAATAATTCAGTGAGATAAATTTTGTCATCTTGTGAAGTCTCCTTGTTGACATTGTGATATATTTGATATATTGTAGACGGCTTGCAAGCCACGTATATACAGCATAAACTGTGGAGCATCTCCGTTCTTAATACTTCAGATAATCTTAACACTGCGGTATTAAAGCACTCCTCAGTGACGTGATTCGTCCCAGGGTTTTATCCGGATGTACTGCTGACACTTGGCAGTGGGGAGATTTTGCCTGGGTCAAAGTATCCCCCGAGACAGCAAACAGAACATACAAACTCATGAACTTCACGATTGACACTCGATAGATCATTCACAATACGATAAACAACATCAATGATTCGTGCTTGGATATCGATATTGCCTGCGCTCATACAATCTGTAGCTGGTACTGCAAAAACTCAACATCGACTTCGTTCGAGTGCTTTTGCGGTTCCTGGAAATGCTACTTATGATTATGTTGGTACGTGAGATCTTTGAGTACCTGGAGAATCTGAGTTAATAGATTCAGTGGTTGGAGGTGGAACAGCAGGGTTGGTCATTGCATCAAGGCTCGCAGAAATAGCATCTGTTTGCGTAATCGAGGCAGGTGGTTTTTACGAACAAGACAATGGAAACTATAGCATCGTCCCATATGGAAGCCTACAAATGCCCTTGGTTTACTCAACTGAAGATTATCCTAAACAACCGCTCATTGACTGGGATCTATTTTCTGTACCACAGGTAAATGCTGGGAACCGGCGAATACACTATGCTCGAGGAAAAACGCTGGGAGGATCTTCAGCACTGAATGCGTTATCATACCACCGTGCTACTTCTGGTACGTATCAGAAATGGGCTGAACTTGTAGGAGATGAGAGTTTCACTTTTGAGAATCTTCTTCCATATTACAAGAAGTCTTGTCATTTGACTCCACCTGATATTGTAAAAAGAAACTCGACATCTGCAACAGTAGTGTATAACACCACAGCTTTTGATAACTCTTTTGGTGGGCCTCTACAAGTTTCCTGGAACAATTGGGTTGATCCCACGATAAATGCACTTGCGAAAGCTGTACAGTCTATTGGTCTTCCAGTAAGTTCAGTTGGCTTCAGTAGTGGTTCTTTATCTGGTCATGGTGCTTGGGTCCCTTCGACTATTGAACCCAAGAAAGCTGTACGATCATCTTCGCAGTCAAGTTTCTTAGAAGAAGCTATTGAGAATACCGATATCATGGTGCATGCCCATACTCAAGCCCTAAAGATCCTTTTCGCTTCTGATTCACCAAAAAGAGCAAATGCGGTTCAAGTATCGACAGCAGGATTTCAATACACCATTCATGCGAATAAAGAAGTCATCGTATCCGCAGGAGTTTTTCACTCGCCACAATTACTCATGGTATCTGGTGAGAAGCTACTCTCAAGATCAAGAATGTCATTGCTAATTTGGAGAAGGAATCGGTCCACGCCCTACACTTGAGGAACAAAACATCCCGCTAATTTCGGAACTTCAAGGAGTAGGACAAAATCTATGGGATCAAGTCTCATTCACTGTACTCAACCAAATCAACACACCCAGTGCTGGAAGTATTGTTGCAAATCTGAACAACTCTGCCGAGATATTGCAACGATATTACGAAGATGCTGGTGGGCCATACAGCTCAGCAGCCGGTTACCTATCTTTCGAAAGAATCCCAGAAGAACTACGAGAAAATTTTTCGCAACAGACAACATCATCACTAGAATATTTCCCATCTGACTGGCCAGAAGCAGAATATGTAGGAGCAGGTTTTGGAGGTGACAATTTCTCTACAATTGGTGTTTTTGGCGGAGTACTTACAGCTCCTCTTTCCCGAGGCAATATCACTATCAAGAGCGCTAGCATGTTGGACCCACCTGTAATCGATCTTGGTTGGTTTAGTGATCCTGCAGATTCCGAAGTAGCAGTAGCAATATTCAAACGTATCCGACAAATATGGGACAGCGACCCAGCTAAATCTATTAAGACAGGGCCTGAAATTCTCCCAGGAGTAGCAGTACAAACAGACCAAGAAATTTTGGAGTATATTCAACAGAATTCGGCTCCAATGTGGCATGCTAGTGCCACATGCGCAATGGGCAAAACTGGCGATACGAATGCGGTTGTAGATTCGAGGGAAGGGTGTTTGGAGTAGAGGGCCTAAGAGTCGTTGATGCTTCGATCTTTCCTTTTGCGCTTCCTGGACATCCTCAAGCTTCTGTTTATATGATTGCCGAGAAAATTGCGGATGATATAATAACTGAGAAATGATTTATATCGGTCGTCGCGATATGCCACTATTTGATCATTCAATACTAAACCAGCGGTGAAAGAGGTCGGTAGAGACCCATGAATGACGGCAAGAAGAGTGAGATGTCACCCCATAATATAAACAAGATGCAACCACTCGACTGCTGAGTGCAAAGGAAGTTTCATTGTCAAAATTGCACCAGTCCAACCATATGATAGTATACATCATCGAATTCCAAGAACTAAGATCCGACCATTATAGATCCCAATAAAACCACCAACTCCATCCACCATGCATACAATATATCCATGTACACACTTAACCTAAACCTTCATCCACAAATTCAAGACACCCTTTGCATATTCCACAATCTCATCACCACCCAATTTACTCTCTCCATAAACACGATCCACGAAACTGATTGGTACTTCGGCCACCGTGCATCCCATAGCCTTAGCTCTAACCATCATTTCCATCTGGAAAGTATATCCCTTACTTTCCGTACTTTCAATAACCTTCTGTAAAACCGCTTTCTTGTATAGTCTGAAACTTCCCGTCAAATCGCTAACCCCAGGTCTCAAGACGGTGTCGGCAAACAAATTGGCGCCCCTGGAAACCAACTTTCTCTTCAAATCCCATCCAAATACACCTCCATCACCGGCATATCTTGTGCCGGTAACAATATCATATCCACCATTTGTAGAAAGCGTCTTTTGTTTCGCGATCATTTGGGAGATGAATTTAGGGTGGTGAGAGAAATCCGCGTCCATAATAATAACATAGTTTCCAGTTACGAATTGAAGACCGTGAACATATGCCGTTCCAAGACCAAGCTTGCCGGCGCGAGCTTTGAGGAGAACGTGAGGGGAGTAAGCTTTGGCAAGTTGATTGGCAACGACTTGAGTTCCGTCGGGGAACCGTCGTCAACGATGATGAGCTCCCAATCGAGTCCTCTGTAATTCAATTAGCTGCCGTCTGAAAAGAATCAATGCGCACAAAAGTGCGAGCCATTGGCGCAAACTTACTGCTCGGTGAATGTGCGATTAAGAAGCCATGTAATGATGGGAAGGTTGCGACGTTCATTGTAGGTAGGAAGGATTACGGAGTATTTGTCTTTGGTTGCTTTTGGTGCCATTTTGGATGATTATTATTGTAGGTAAAGGAAGGTAAGTGTCGAGAATCAATCGGGACTATTCAATTAAAAGTCTAAGTTGTTAAAGGAGTGTGGTTGTTGACTTCTCGTGGAGCTCGATGGGGTTCAGGTGCACCGTGTCCACAAAATTGGCAATCCGACATGGCTCGCTTAGTAATCACACCGGCCGCGTCGCTATCAGGTTACCATCAAGTCGATGGGTGGAAGTGGGATATAGAACCAATTGCATGTATCCCAAGCCTTTCAGGATTTCAAGGGTTACAATATTGTGAATGAACAATAACTTTCCCTCTGAGATCAACAAGACTAACGGACTGACTTTGAGAAGCTGTGACTCTTCCTGGTTTCATTTCAGCAAAGTTGGAACCGGCGACTTTCCCTCAAGATCGTCTCAATTCACCCGTATCAGCTGAAACTAGATGCTCCTAGTCTTTGGCGTATATAAGGTCTGAAATGGCGAGAGTTAGAATATTATTTGGCAAGTGCCAGCTCTCCATTCGAGCATTTTCAGTTTGACTCTACAAGAATGTCTGTATTTGATCGTGATGGCTCAGGAAGTCAGCATGTAATCGTTCAAGTTATGGGTGCAACTTGCTCTCGCGTTGTAAAGCATCTTAGTCGTGTGCATTTATCCTTGATAAGATACTGTCACCCTTGACTATCACGATGGTTCATATTGCGACAATACCGACGTTGGGCTTGATATCCTACTTATGCACTATATCCGCGAAATATTGTAGTTCACTTTTCAGTGTAGCTCATTGGAGGTCTCATTTTGGACAAGTAACATCGAGGCTCTTTTGATTCGCATGGCGCAGTAGCTTTTGGGTAGATACACTTAATGAATGAGCCGACTATTAATTCGTGTAACATATTTGAGCAGATATGGTAGCCAAAATCGTACAAGTGTCTCGATAAAATGGACATTAAGCGCTTCTTTGTCTGATCGACATTCCCAAAGAAAAACCATGCAGTCAGATGCGTATTGGAAAACTAAAATGCAGATTCAAATCCAGAGTCCAGCATCGGCTTTATTGGGTTACAACCCTTGCCCCCCCCCCTAAGGGCGGTTAATATCATGCAGTCATCGCTGTACCCGCCATGGCCTAGTCTTCCATGCTTGCCTTGTTCAAAGATGCACGTCTTCATCAATCGAATGGTATAAAACAGAATAAAAAATATCAAATTAGGGGTGTCTATGCGGAACAATGATACTTATTAAGCGCGCAAAACATTCCATACCTCTATTGAAATATCTACGCGTATGTGTTGAAAACTTATAATCATATGTCATCTCTTGAATTTAAAGATCGCTCCCTCGTTACTATTTCACTGTATCAAAGCAAGACAACTGCATGCTTCAAGATTATCCATCCATATCAATATGGGAGGTCTCAGCGAACCCCGATTCTCAATGGAGAAGGATGATATTCCGTTATTTACTCTTATTGCTGACATAAATTCTGTACAAGTATCGGATGCTAAATCTTTCTCTTACCAAAAGTTCAATTGGCAGATCGAAAAACCTAACTCGAGCTGTGTTGATTCCACCAATTTCATTAACTTTGTTTCAACACCCTCTTTATTTAATGAACAACTAGCTATATTACCATCCGAAATTAGCACTAGAGTCATCTTTCTCATACTTCCTCCTACAACGATCTCTGGTGTATATCATGGTTTTGATGAAGTAGCCCTCCGCTCAGCTTATAGCACAGCACACGAAATTCTAGAAGCTAAATACAACGCGAATGTCAAATTTGACTCGAGTTCTTACGGGTCTGACCCTACGGTAGCGGGAACTTCACAACTTGTTTTTGATTTTGGTATACTCAGGAGATTCGAAGCCAGGCCTGAACTGCTCTGGACAATTAATGAGTGTGGGAATCGTAAAACTAGTCAGTATATCTGGAGAAGGTCATTTCAGGATTCTCACATATATAGTGGTCGTATATTATCGCATATGGACGGAACAATCAGACAAATATGACTCGGTTAGAAAGTCGCGAGTAGATGCCATTCGGCAGAGTGCAGATACCGTTGCGCAGTCCCTTATCAACAACTGGAACGATTTTACGGACCTGGATACTCAATCTATGGAATCAAGTCCAATCGAGTGTGTCTTTCCCTTAATCCGAGAGTTGGAAGCGTATTTTCTCTCTGAACTTGGAAATCTGAAATCTGAGCTTTAATGTTGGCTTAATCCAGATTTTAAGAATCCTCGGTTTTCAGAGGCTGAAACGCAAGAAGCCAGAGATGCAGATCTCACCTTAGCATGGATACAGTCTCGTGGTGCGATTGAAGACTTTGAATTGATCACTCAGAACCTTGAAGACTATCAAGAAGGTGCATTAGGCATTCGTGGAAACGACAAAATACAAAATGTGATTGAACGTCATCGCAAAAGGCTAAAAAGGGCCCGCGAACTTGAGCAATGTGCTCGAGACTCACTTTCATGGAGAGTTGGAAATGTTGCACTATACGAATCGAAAAAATCGATTCAGCAATCCAAAACTTTGGGAAAATTGTCGGTCCTAGCATTCATTTTTCTCCCCATCACCTTGGTTACATCGTTTTTCGGTATGAATATAAATGAATTGACCGGAAGTGGCGCATCATGGAAAGCATTTTTCATAGCTGCGGGAATACTTTGTGGCTTAGGGTTTCTTACATTTCTATGGGTATTCCGAAGATCGCGCAATCTTAGGTATTGTTATTTCCCAATCTATGTTATACTCCGGTGCTTTAAGAAGGGAATAAAGTTGATGGGGTTAGACCATGGATCATGGTTCCGCTGGTTTAATAAATTGATATCGAAAATTTACAACAAATTTTAGCGACAATATCGCTCTCTGTCTTCTCCTCCAAGGCAGTTTCGTACGTCCATACTCTGGTCCGACGACATTTTCTACTCAATAGTCCGAGGTATACTACCTGCGGTCAAATCCTCACCCAAGACCTACAAGATTGACTAACGCATATACAGTTTATTAGAAACCCATTTGCGATGGCCTGGAACGACTGCTGGACCAGTCGCTAGCTAGACTTTAATCACTAGAGCCAAAGATGAATACCTGGATAGAAAGATAAGGATTTACTATTGACAAGTTCCTGGCGAAATTATGACTTGAGGTCATAGTGTAACAATGACAATATCATTTAGTGGTAGTGCTTTGGCGTTGGATAGGATATCAATAGTCTTGTTGTATGACTTGTATGCAGTCTTTTTAGCAGAATCTTATCATGTCAAATATGCAAAGAAATAGTTCAGAGACTGATGCAAGTTTTTTTGCTTATAGCCTCCGTTTTGAGCTGTGCTCTCACATAGACTATGTATTGTAGGTATGTGGAGGCTTGCATTGTGATGACTAACGCTAAGCTAGTATACATGAGGACGGTGAATTCATTCAACACTATATAGCTGATCACGAAGAAAAATGCGTATTACGCGATTTATGATATGGTACTGATGTGCGATTAAATTTGAAAATCTCATACTTATCCAGAGACATCGAATCGGAAAATCAACTGAATTGATGGGAGAGTCTTTGAAACATTCGGAAAATGAGGACTCAATTTTAAAAGGTGTGTTCACCTAAACATGAGCAGAGCAAATATACCCCGGAGCAAGACAATCCATCATCTCCATTGTATATAAACACAGCTACATATTTCTCCCTCCCGTCACCATAATAACCTGCCCCGTCACATATCCAAACAACGGACTCGCGACTGCCAAGATACTTCTCGCCGCTTCCCCAGCTGTACCCGCCCTCCTCAACGGGATATCCAAATTCGCATCTTTCCCCTGACTCCCCTGACCCTTCGGTATTCCCAGTGCAATTTTCTCTCCATCCGGCGTCGTCACAAAAGCGCCCTCCTCCTTCGCAGCAGTCAATCTCGTCAATATATGTCCAAAAGCTATACTATTACATCTTACTCCAAACTTTGGACCCCATTCCTTCGCAATCACTTTCGTAAGTCCATTAATCCCCGATTTTGCAACTCCGTAATTGGCCTGGCCGGCATTGCCATGAACACCAGATGTAGAAGATATATTTACTATACATCGGGGCTCACCATCTGTGACGCGAAAATATGGCGCGGCTTCGCGAATAAGTTTAAAAGGGGCGGTGTTGTGAAGAGCCAAGATGTTTTCCCATTGTTTGTCGGTCATTTTGTGGATTACCCCATCCCATGTATATCCCGCATTATTTACTATTATATGGATTTTTCCGTTTCCAAATTCTGCAGCTTTCTTCACAAGCACTTTGAGATATTCGGCATCAAGCATGTCGCCTGGAACTGCAATTGCGCGGCCGCTTGCTGCGGAATTAATTTCGTCGGCGACGGATTTTGCTTTGGCTGAGAGGGGGATTGGGTCAGTATCGGTAGCATTGAGATAAATAGCGAGTTGAAAGGTACGGACCGCCATCGATATCAGATATAATCACTTTGGCTCCTTCATTCGCGAAAAGTTTCGCGGTTTCCGCACCAATACCTTGGCCAGAACCGGTGATTATAGCTACTTGACCAGCAAGTAATCCCTTGGGATAATTGAGATGGCCAGCAATTTGTGCAATACGAGACGCCATTGTATAGTTCTCTGATTGATAGGAGATTGAAGTTAGAGGTAGCAAGAGCGGTGGCATTTGTTTGTATTTGTGAGGTTTCCTAGTGTATGAATTAAGGCGGGGAATGACAGCTTCCCCGGATTTTTGATTGCCGGACCGAGGCATGCTGAATTTCTATTTTTGGATAATGAACTATTTTGTCCTCACAGCCGTTCGAAATACCCGCCTCCAATTTCAATTACTTGAGGATGATGTCTTGTATTGTATGATTCTCTAGTCCCATTCTAACTAAGTATTTGCGTCTGTCGATGTGGCGGATTTCTTGACCATCTAAAAGGTACCGCGCTAAGTCGTCTTCTTTACATGCCGAAGCCCCCATTCGCGTTCTTTGTCGCGTCTAAATACCTACCACGCATTCAACTTGAAGACTTAGATTCAATCGACCGGTGAATGAAATATTCCGTAGCATCCAAACATATAGATCTCGCAACCAACGTTTCGAGATTCAGCATTTCAGTCCAAGACCATTGTGATAATAATCAAAACCTATAGTCAAGCCGTACAAATGTGAAGCAGCTGCCGCAAGGACAAGCATATGAAATATTTGATGGGAACTTCCCCAAATATCGTAAGAACCTGGTGAGGTCCGTTCAGGCCATCGAGCCTAGTTAATATCAGATAATTGTTCCCTTAAACACCTTTGGGATACTTACCGCATATAATGAAGCACCAAGAATGTAAAAAAATCCTTCGAGTAGCAACCATGTCAAGCCCGCTCGTTCACGCATTGCATGGAATCCATAAAGTTGTATCCCATTCAGTATTGGAATGACGGCTCCGCAAAGCGCCAGAGCCACAAAGATGCCTGCTCGATAAGGTCTCCAGGCAGGAGTTCTAAACCTTTCAAGCATGACTACAACTGCACAAATACCTCCAAGGACACCCGTCTGAATGTATCATGAGCCAAATGAAAATTGAACGCATCTTGTAGAAACGACTTACAATTGTGGAGTAAAATTCGAATAGATGTGGATGACAATACAAACCATAATAGATCCCAGGTATAACACTCCCAGTGATGAGAGAAACGATCCCCAAATAATCTAACTTATTGCCAAACTTAGCAACAGTGGGAGAATGATTAGAGATAGTATGGTAAGTCCCCGACATCCCAAGGCATAATGCAGCTCCTGCAAAAAAGCAACTAAATGCTAGAACATCAGCGTTTTCAGCGGACGCATATCTAGGCTTAATGATTGCATATAGGAGAAATCCCGAAAGTGTGAATACTACGGCTCCAACCAAATGCGAATAGATGTTGACTGATTCATTGTGAATGTAACCCAGAGATGCAAAGGACTTTTGGAAAGATGATGTTGCAGGTCGATAACCAGATCTAATGTAATGATTGTCTTGTTGCCACGAGGGAAGATCATCCCAAAGTACTGTAAGAGAATTTTCGACTTTCTTTTCAATATTTTTGACTGTTTCGAAAAGAAGTTCTGTGGTCGATGTCGTCGATGGTCTTCGTTGACGGGTCGACATCTTAATGCCAGTGAGTGAGCTTGTGCTTACGATTGATTACCTTGAAATGAAATGAAGTCAATCGCTACAAGTAAAATCACGACTGAAGGAGCAAACGACCGGTTTGACATAATAAATCCATCATTTTATGGATAAAGCTGGGATGATAATTACCCAGGTACTGAAATTCTTATCAGATTCATCAAAAATAATGTTGGGAGTTCCTTCTTAAAGCAGCAATTGATGACGAAGGGCATTGAAGCTAAGCTCGAGAATGTTCATTTTCACTCATGCATATGAAATAGAGGCATCACATCAAACAAGCATCATTTTCGATATTTGTTCTCTTTCTCGATGTCGACCAAAGGTGGACGTAACTCATCATGGAGTCGGCTAAAGCCCGTCAAGCAGGATATTTTCGAGGAGATGGGCTTAAGATCCAAGGGAGATAAACAGTACGTCCTTGCAGCCAATCTTATCCTCCGCCTTTGTTTACTTACTGCCCCGCCAGGCTCCTTGACTATAAAACCCAGGAAAGTTTCTACAACAAGATAGTCGAACGATACTTGATATTCGCAGCCGATGCTCGCAGAGGAGACGAACTAGACCGGAAACTTGCACGTCTGAATATTGCACAAGATAATGCGAATCGCGATGCTGCTCCAACAACACTAACAGTGCCGAACCCCGCAGACCTCATCAATGGCAAACCCGATACAAACGAACTCGATGCTATAACAATGGGAATGAGGAAACTTCGAGAGGGAATCGTGGCATCAAAAAGAATAGATGATTTCTCCATTCAAGCATATATATTTTGCATACGCCTGTCAATATTGCTGAAACATTGGGAATCGTATCATCCAGCAATGCGCCATCTACTTCAAGTAATGCACCCAAAACATCCACTATCAAGCACCGAACTCCAGGAGTTTGCAGCATACCAAGTGCTAGATTTGGCTTGCAGGCAATCGGACCTGGCAAAGGCATACTCCATCAGACTCGCACTTGGGTTGCGAGACCCTAAAGTCGACGAAGTTTTGAAAGCGATTGCTCACGATAATTACTTTCTATTCTGGAAGGTAAAGAGGGAGGTTGATGGTTATAAGGCAAAGATCATGGAATTCGCGGGGGAGGAGATGAAGCTGCATGCTTTAAAGTCGATTGGGAAAACGTACCTCAGTATCGAATTAGATTCCCTGGAGCAACTTACCGATTCTAGTTGGAGCGTTTTGACTGAGGCGTATAGCGTGGGATGGCAACTAGAAGGGACAAAGGTTGTAATTCGAAAACCAAAGCCACGTTGAAAGCACATATACCTCCACGATGTCATTACTTTTATTCGATTTCTGGAATATACCAAATTATATGTTATAGGTATGCTGATCTGCAATGAGCATTGTCGATAGGCTAATTTCTGACAATTCACATCAGGTCAGAGTTGATTCTGTTCATGATCATGACTATTGATGAGCTATGGTCATTATCAGCATGAACTGGAGATTCAAGAATCTCCGCGCGGTGTACGCAAGAGAGGTCAAGCTGGATTTGCACACTACCATTACCTCTTTGTGGTCGCAATACAGGATCCTAATCAGTACGACATGAACGTCATTTGTCGCGACAACAGAACACATGTGTTCGTTGATCATCCTTTGATCGTAGGCTACGATCCCATGATTCTGGTACGACGTGAATATCAAATATTTCACGTTCTTATTTCGTGAGGTTGTAAAGGAAACCTTCCGATGATATTATCCGAAAGATGGAGATTGATATGAAGTATCACAACAAACTTGAGAGATTGATAAATACTCACGAAAGGTATATCATCACTAGAAAATGAAATTTTGATATCCAATCTACGAATGACAAACATTTTAAATAATAGGATTAACTCGTCGTTGAACGATGATAATATGAATACGTCCCATCGTTGATCGTTTAGCTGTCCTATTTCAACATTGTAGCTAGAAAGCATCGTATGCTAATTTCGACGTCTAATCCACTCTAATTGGCTGAATAAATACTACATCTAACCACCCGTGCTGAAGGGTTTGATAGCTAATATATAAAATCTAATTGGTTGTTATGCAAGTTAGCCACACTCGTCCAAAGGGTTATGCTTCAAATCCGATTATCCGAGAGTTGTCCATCCTTTGGCGGGGTCTCCGCCGATCAATCAATTTTCTTTTTGTAAAACTGCACATCCTTCGGCAAACACGGGTGTTATGAAGAGGCAAATGATCAACACACGGAACGCACAATGAAGGAGGGGAGCAAATAAAGGGAAGTTGTGATCAACAATTCGAAATTTCGAATTGATTGAACTTAGATTTATACTTTCAAATTCCAAATATTTTGAATGTGACTACATTAGTTTCAAACGAGCCACAGCCCGTGGGCCACGGGCTATCCCGTACATTCGTTAAAGGCGCCTAAAACAAACAATTGACCACGTGCACTAGAAGAATCAAGCTTCCATATGACCTAAAGCATGGAATTTTGACATTCTTGGTGGTGGGCATGGCATTTGTTGCATATCGACAAGAATTGCTATTTGAACTAGAAAACCAGCTTTCTATCAAGAATAACAACGTTTGATTGGTGTTAACCCGACGGTAAAGGAACGTGCAGTACCAAGCCACTTTTAAACGAATCCGAAAGAAGGGATCAGACGCCTCATGTACAAAATAAGCAAGAGCTAGCGAAAGATCTAGACTCGTCTAAATCATGAAATCCGTATTCCCCATTCGTCCAAGAAATCAGGCCACATTGGCAGATCATTGGAACCACGCTTTTAATTGAAAACTCCCATTTTGGACAAATTTTAAGCCAGGCGAGCAAGAAAATTCTATTGTTGCATATCTTATGAAGTGATCAGCTATGGTTTATTTCCTATTTGGATTGGAGAACTCCGGGGTGCAATATCTATAGGCTTGGGATGGAGATCGTCAATGGAAAAGACTGTAGTCTAGAGAGAAGAAAGGGACACAAATTGGAGATTGTTGCACATCTTACGGAAAGATCAACGATACTCACTCCTCTTTCTGGCTTACATTGCTTCTTGGTATTAAGGGTCTTTAATAATCTAGAGCGATATATTCCCCTTTGTTGCACATCTGAAATATACGATCGTCTATCGTGAATTCCCTTTTAAGGAGAACATTCTTACAATCTCGCGACAGCCAACTCCGAGATTAAAATGTTGGAATGTTTGTTGCACATCTTGTATTGATCGCCACTGCTATTTTTCTAATCACTACTGTATAGTATGAGGAAGATCTTTCTCAGGTTTTTGTTGCAAGTCTGAAAAATCTTGATCATCTTCGAACATGGCCGGATTTGGTCAGTGTCCGAAATGAGTTTCCACACCACATCGTTTTGTTGCCGACCTGATGGCTTGATGTTCCTCATTCCTCTCCTCATTTAGATCTTCTCCGAAGAAGAAAAATACTACACGACTTTTTGTTGCACATCTGAAATCTTAAGATCGTCTTTTTCAATCACCCAATCTAGATACGTCCGGAGATTCTTCATCTGGAACGGAGGCATATTTTTATTGCAATCTTACAACCCTTTCTTGGTCAAAGCCAACCAGGGTTTGATTCCGACGATTTCAATACTAGATTGTCCGAATATTGAGTGCGAGTCCTTTGTTGCACATCTAAAAAATCATGATCGTCTCCGTGTCACCCAATCCAGTCAAATTGCATACCTCAGCTTGTATACTCTTTCCTTTGTTGCAAATCTCATCGCTTGATTTTTCCGGATATTTTCTCTTTCTGCTACAGCTCGCCTACACAAGTACGAAACCATCGAATTCTTGACATGAAATTCGCCTTGGCTGTGCATCCAACCTAATCAGTTGTTTTCCTGTTTTGCACAGCTCGCTTAGAGCCATCAAATCATTGCTGCTTAAACCTCCACCCTTTGAAGTTTGTTGCACGTCTAATCGCTTGATCTTCTCTATTCAATCCAATTTCGGGACGGGTCGCCTGTGCTCGGCTGCGAGTGAAGTTTGTTGCAGATCTTCTGAAATCGATCGGCTGTGGAGATTACCCATTTGGATCACGGGCCTTCCGTGTTCCCATTCTGAGGGGGTCTAGGCCCGAAATTTGAGGTAATATTGTTATTTTGTTGCGTCTCTGAAAATCAATCATTTCCTATTCGAGTGGATGCGAGATTGATGAATGATGTTGAGGGTGTATTTTTTTGTCTTGTTGCATGTCTGAATTTTGATCATTACTCGTTTGGGAATCGCAATATTTGGGCGATGGGTGGCTGATACCGTGGCACCCCTCAAGCCTGACTGTGCATCGACACGCATAAATGGAAGACTCTCTCCTTCTTTCATTGTATGTATAAGCTCTAATTATAGCAAAATGATACAATATACATGCTCGTCCGGAAGAGAAAGCCCTCAAGGTAGTACGAGGCTTCTACCACCGGAGCATAGAGCGTCAACGACCATATCTAAATTTGCAGCAACAGTTTCTAACGGACTGTTACACGATTATTTGCTCCAATTTCATCATCTAAAGTGGGATTCGAAATAGATCTTGTAAGTCCGGCCTATCTTCGGTTATCCTACACATATATGAGCAGCCTGCAGCGTGTTTCTACCTATGGCTACCTGTTCACTCCATGTTTTCAGACTTGTCAGAGTTGGAACAGGATTAGTTACGGTCTCGTTCAAAATTTTCATGTATTTTTGGGCGGGTTCATAGAGTTTTACTTCTATTAGTATTGGTGGTGGTCTATATCAATGGCATCTTTTTTCAGGCATCTATTTGGGACATCACAAATGAGTATTGCGATTCCTAATGAAGTACTCGATGTTATATTGAATGCGAAAAAGTATGCTTTTCTTCCATTTCCTAGGAAGGATAGAGGTTTCCAGTGTACCAACCGCACATGAGATCTTGGAATCGGAGGCCGGCAAATTTCGTCCTGATACCAAAGGCAGTTTGTGGGAAGAAATTGTGAAAGATTTATGGCTAGAAACTAGGAAAAGTGGAGGATGTAGTCGCCTCGAGTGATGTAGCCTAGGGGAAAGTCGTGGATGGGCTGGGGCATATGGTTGATTTCACCGTTCATCTGGATTTTGTTGCCGATCGTGAATGGAGGAAGGGAGAGAAGAGAGATGAGTGCTTTGTCGGATGGAGGTGGGATGTTTTCATCGATCTAGTAGTCAGAACATAGTGTAAATAAGCCAGAAAGGTATTCCCCGAGTATTATCCGAGTATGGCACAGACACGAGAGCGGGATGAATATGGACAAAGAAAACAATTTGAGGGTAAATCCATTACCAGTCAAACAGAATCGGGGCTTCCTGAGCTGCTGGGTTCTACTTCTACTAATCAATGATATTTGTGGTAAGCAGGACATTTATATGTTGCGGTGGATAGGGCAGCTGGGTATTGAGAAGGCGGAGAGCGGCCTGTTCAATTTCCTCCAACTTCTTCACAGTCAAACTTCCTTCTCGAGATCATCCTGAAAGTTTTACTTAATTCTGTCAGCACTTCTTCCACTTTATCGACGGATCGAAGTATTTCGAAAAGACAATTGAGGCTCTCATTGCTCTCAAACTCACATTTTAAATTTCATATGCAGTGTTTCAACACTTTCAACACATCTCGCCACTTCTGCTCGACTCCTGGTACGGCCAGGTATGTGAATGGAGGTATCTCTCTCCATTCCACGATCGCACCGAAATCTCTCACACGGTTTTATCAGGTAAGTAGCTCCAGGTAGGTTTCATGAATCAGGAGATGAAATGGAAGGAAGTCGCTGATGCAATTGCATTGCTCATGATGAAGTTGCCCAGAATGAAGCAGATTCTTAATAAATCTATGAGCACCGACTTTGAGTATTTGAGGAAGCCAGCGGAATATCTCGGTTCTCGTGGCGCTCGTGCTCTTGGTGCTAACACGCTGGTTACTACTACATCTCTCTTATTCCGCAGCTCTTAATCCGAGCTATTAGGTTGGTTCTACCACTCAATGATAAACAACAGGTTAGGATTGTCAAAGTTCATGGAAAAACGTTAGGCAACACTTCTCATCCAGACCCACAAATTGTTCTCTGGCATTGCAATTATGAATTTCTGGATGCTGGCATTACCTTGGTTACTCTGGCTTAGGAATTGAATATTTTTACCATTTGCATATTCTTATGCAACTGCAAAACTGACAAAGACATTAATCCTTAACAGCAACACTATGCCATGAGCATCGATTTTTTTGAATAACAAAGACCACACAAAAGCACAATGAAGCTGATCCGTAAAGACTTTGGACGGAGGGCATATATCTTCCTTTGTGGCTTTGTTACACTTCTTGAATATCTGTTGCATTCTAGGTTGGTTTTTCTATCATCTTGCTGGATCTGACCAAAGTTCTGACAATAAATCGAAACCCGAACGTGATCTCCTCGAAATTTCGGCCGGTACATTAGGTATTTCATAGTGAATGAATTTAAAACGAATATTGTGCATTCCATTTTGTGCACCAAGTCTACAATCGTTTCCAAGACTATTTAGAGACTCGCTCTGGTCCTTTCAACCCTCATATATGCGACAGAGAACAAACTATCGTACAAAATGCAAGCACCAGACCCTACGAATAAGTTCGATTATACCGACAAGGTCTTGGAGATAATTAGAGGCCAAGATGTCGCTGATGAGTCAATTGTACAAAAAATACGGGACATTTTTGTTCAGATAGACGCTGATGTAGAGGCTGATGGAATCAATCTTATGGCGGAATATGAAAAAGCAATAAAGGAAGAAGAGAGGGCGGAGGCGAGAGCAGAAGCGAAAGCGAAGGCAGAAAGTGCTGAAGCTCAGGAAAGACGAGAGGAAAGAGCCGAGAGAAGATTAACTCATGAAGATACCGAGGCTGCCGTGGAAGTTATACGTGCTATACATCAAACAACTGCGCCTCTTCGTCACAATAAATGGCGAAAGCCAAACGCAGGGTTCACAAACAAAAATATCAGAATCATAGGCAAGATCGGCCAGGGCGGTTTTGGAGCAGTATACCTTATTGAGAATATTGAGACTAAGGTTCAGTATGCAATGAAGACCCAGTAAGCTTAACGCAATTACTAATCCCTTTGGTTTTGTTATATCTTTTTGTTCTTCGATTCCAAATAGCACATTTATATTTCATCTTGTACACCTCTTCTAATGCCCTGCACAACACGAATACCTCATTTTCCCTCCAAAGCCTAGTGTTCAGAGGCAATACTGACTCCCAAATCCTGCAGGCTTGTGAGAGAAAATGACGATGTACCAATGATGTCACCCCCAGCATGGAGGGGAGCCGAAACTCCTCCTGTCACACCTTCTTCTGAGGCTTCGAAGAGATCCGCGAAAGCAATGAAAGAGCGGCATTTAATGACTAAACGGTTCAATGAAACTAAATGTTATTTGCAATATATACGTTCTAGTCATCCTTCTATCTGCAACTTGGAAGCTTTTTTCGACTTAGAACAACCAGAAGATAACGGCCACTGCCATATCTTTGAGTATTGTCAATGGGGGACTTTGGAAAATATCGTAACGCAGTACTATGATACACCACGCTGGGGCTCAGGAGAGCCCGAGGGGTCTTTCTGGGCTCACAAACCAAAAGATATGCCAACAATATACAAGCACGCAGCAATACCAGAAGCGTTCATTTGGCATGTCTATATGCAGACAATGGAAGCTCTTAGTTTCCTTCATGGTGACCACGAACTCAATAAGAAGCCAGAGTTCCACTCACGCAATCAAGTTATTTGCCTTGATATCAAGTTGGACAACATATTTTTGAAGGACCCTGGGAAACCAAACACGTATCCGATTGTAAAAATTGGGGATTTTGGAGAAGCTACCTATGTGCCATATGGAGAACTCCGCTGGCATGACACGGGAAACACGATATGCAAGGCGCCCGAGGAACCTTATTTAAGTGCCAAATATGACGTTTGGTGTGTCGGGATGTCATTGTACATTTTGTCGCACTCGGGTAGACGACCAAAGAGACCTGAAGTAGACGGAGAGCAAGATCAAAAGGATAAGCCGAAATGGGGTTTATGCGATCCACATCTTTCTAAAGTTTTGGCTAACGAGCTTGAAAAGCCAAGAGAAATGGAAGTAGAAAAGAGATGGACTGCAGCCCAAATCTTAGACCATATAAGACCAATAGCTGAAGAAACGATACGTTTGACGTATAGACGTTTGCAAAATTGGGCACGACCGGAGTTACAGGTAACATTCGAGGAAGGTATTATTGAACGGGTTGAAGGGGGAGGAGCGCTCAGTGAGATTTCAGAAAGTAGTTATGATGATGATTATGATGATAGTGATGATGATGATGATGATGATGGTAGTGATGATGGTGATGATGATGGTGGCGATGAGATAGTCAATGAACCTTCTGGGGGAGGAGAAGGGGGAGCTATTGGTGGGGTAGAAGTAGAAGTGGAAATTCGACCCCCGCGCCCACCTGGTACTCCAGACTCTGGAGAAAAGAGAACCAAAGAGCAGGAAGCCAAAGAGAAGGAGGCCAGAGAGAAGGAGGCCAGAGAGCAGCAAGCCAGGGTGCAGCAAGCGATAGAGCAGTTAGCCAAGGAGCAGCAAACCACAGAGCATTTAGCCAAAGAGCACTTAACCCAAAAGCAATTGGCCGAAAAGCACTTAACCACAGGGCGGATAGGCAAAAAGCAATTTGTTAGAGAGCAGCGACTCAGAGAGCAGCAGGCCAGAGAGCAATTAGCCAGAGTGCAGCAAGCTACAGAACACTTAGCCAGAGAGCAACAAAAGGAATTGGAAAGACAGCAAGAAGAGGAGTTGAAAAGACAACGAGAAGTGCAACTGAGAAGACAACGAGAAGAGGAATTGAAAAGACGACGAGAAGAGGGCCAAGTACCAGAAAGTCCATCACTCGCGCCGCCCCAGAAAAGGCGATTGATTAGATATAAAAAACACCGAGCTTACCGGGTATGATGAATGCTTGATATTAATCTTTGGTGAGCTCACTCAAATCGACATATCTTATGATAGCACTAGCTAATGTACATTGCTGTAGGATTGGTCAATGGCTTTTGAATCAGTCCATCTACAAACGTTGAAACCTGACATATCTTTCAATGAGATTTTGACAACGAAAATCTTTCTGTTTTCGGAACTGTCCACAATAAAGTAAGGTGCTGTCGCTGCTGGTAGTCGAATTGGAGTCTAGAGCTGGGCTGCTTCATGTTTGCCTAGCGTTAATGCAAGGAAAAGATCAGATAACTTTACAACCTAATCTAATCATATCTTATCAATCAGAGGGTCACGATCCAATCATTTTTCTTGAACACTGGTGATCGATATATTGCTTGCCATATCAAGCATCCTTCTCGTGATGCGATACATGTGTGGATCCTAGCACCTCATTGTTATTCCGTAGTCCGTTATGCTATTCCGCTTATTCCGTGTGAGCAAAAGCGCGATGCATGAGCACGAAATCTCCTCGGGAAGTTTTGGTGTGTAATTTACCCTTGAACTTTGAATTCTGAGCTAAAGCATATGTCTTGAAAGGGTTAAAGCATGATAACCGAATATAGAATTGCATGGTAGTTTTGTAGGAGAGCTTTTTGGCCGAAAAAACTCCTTCAAGAAAATGAATGATTTCCCATGGAAACTATTGCATTGTGGACATGGCAATTTCTGCATCACAGACAGTTTCCCTAGGATAAGAATATCAAACATGCAACTCTTCATCTAAGTTGGCTGTCAAACCCCTTGCAGAGACCGGTGTAAGACTCACGAATCTATGATAACGGAATAGGTAGGCCCAGCAGCTTGTTCCCGGAGTATCATCAGATGCATGTATACAATGAGATGAACCATCACATAGATAAAGAATCATCAGTTTGGCTTTGTATTCATTCCGAGCAACCCCATACTAAAGCTTACCACGACGGCTAGCCTCGATTTTCATAACGCGGGCTTTCAAAAATGGACCCTGAGAATCACCCCGAGAAAGATTCCGAGAAGACTTCTACACCTATTGCCACGAACTACGCTAACGCTGATGCCGAATATCTCGTAGCATTCACCGTCCCCCAAGATCCCACCAACCCAAAATGCTGGCCTACGTACCAGAAATGGCTCACTACGCTCGTTCTCTCATCTACCGGCTTCAATCGAATTGCTGTATCCACGATTATGGCACCTGCACTTCCCATAGTCGCATCTGAGCTCCATATGACTTCCCTTGAGTCCGTTATGGCTATGTCCGTTTACTTACTTGCAACAGCCTTTGGTCCCTTACTTATTGGTCCGCTATCTGAATTATATGGACGACGCGTTGTGTTACATACGACCAATATATGGTTTCTGATTTGGAATATTGCATGTGGATTTGCGCACACGAAGGCGTTATTGATTGCTGCACGATTGATGGCTGGTCTTGGTGCTAGTGCCATTTATGCGTTAGGAAGTGGAGTTCTAGGTGATGTTTGGAGATCCGATGAGAGAGGTAGATCATTGGGAATTTATTCTTTGTTGCCACTGTTTGGTGCAGCTGCTGGTCCTATCATCGGAGGTTATATCACGGAATATACGACCTGGAGATGGATGTTTTGGTCAACATCAATTTTTCAGGCAATAATGATCGTGATATCGATCCCTTTATTTCGAGAAACCCATGGTCCAACAATTCTTCGGCATAAAGCTGAAGAGCTCAGACATAGTACCGGGAATTCGCGTCATTACACAGAGGATGAGGCACTTGGAAAAGGGAGATCAGTGTCCTGGGTATTGATGAGAAGTTTTTCTAGACCCATTCGTTTACTTCTATTCCATCCAATCATTCAGGTCCAGGCTTGTCTTTCGGCTTTCGATTATGGCATCACCTATATTACTCTTTCCACCTACTCCGATATCTGGACTGTAGAATACCACGAGTCTATCTCCAAAAGTAGCCTTCACTATCTTGCCATGTGCCTGGGTGAAATAGTGGGAGCCCAAATTGGAGGGCCATTATTAGATCTCGTCTTCCGCAGAATGAAACAACGCGCAGATGGTGTCGAGATGCCGGAATTTCGGGTTCCGATCATGATACCAGCATTCGTCCTCATACCACTTGGACTTTTAGTGTATGGGTGGGCAGCTCAAAAGCATGCACCTTGGATCATCATCGACCTTGGAGCTTTTGTATTATGTTTTGGTATGCAGATTGGTGGACAAGCATTGCAAGCATACGTTATCGATTCATACCCAGACCATACAAGTTCAGCATCTGCTGCATCACAATTTCTGCGCAGCTTAACTGCTTTTGGTTTTCCTTTGTTTGCGCCGAGAATGTATCAATTGTTGGGGCATGGGTGGGGAAATAGCACTTTGGCATTTGTTGCTATTGCCATTGGCATACCAGCGCCGTTGGGTATATGGCGGTACGGTCCGAGATTAAGGGCGAAGGCTTTGTCGAGTTATTGAGAGGCGAATGGAGAATACATTAGGACGCTTTATCGAAATGATATTTATGGGAAATAACATCGAAAACAAGCTGTGAACATGAATAATTGTAGATCCGTCTCTTCATTACTTACCACACTTTTTAACCCAACAAATATTGGAATTTTGCTGGGAATATCCAAACAAATCTCACTCACTCATTCTTTCCGTCTACTTAAACAGTCATCACTTAATTCTCCAACTCTATCCTACAAAATGACACCAACTTTCTGATGGCCCGAATCTTTCTCTCTCGGAAGCCGTTGAATAATGATGTCAGTTTTGAATGATCGTATTACTGTTGGGCCGAAATGGTCTTGACGATTTGAATTCCAGAGAGAAACCGGAATCCTTCCTGAAGATTCTTCCAGATGCTGTCGGTCTTAAAATATCGCAAGGGCTTCTATGTATGATGCAGATGAGTCCACCCAACGCGAATGTCTACTCGCTCTGAACCCGAAATAGGTAATGCTAAGGCTTCAATGAAATTAAACTAAAAGCGACCAAACAAGCAGAAACCGTGGGAACATACACTGATGCAGAAAACGTTCTGGGTAATATTCTCAAACGTACCATAAATTAAATATCATCAGTTCATTTGATGACAGCCTAGGTATACGTACACAATTTTGTTCGACTCTTCCAACCTTGTCATTAAAATGTATTTTAATCTCCGCCACCGCTGATCGTCCCACCGGCTTGTTTCCAACTTTGAGCCATTGCCAAGAAATTCGATAATTTCTTCGTTTGTTCATCATCGGCAGGGAAAACGTAATCAACATATTCCTCATAACTATCGTCATCAAGCTTTCTTCTTCTCTTCGTCTTTCTCGGCATTTGTTTCTGTACTTTCTCAATATCTTCCTCTGTACCATGGGTACGTTCAAAGGAAAGATGAGCATTGAGGAGAGAAACACGCTGTGAATTTGTTAGATATTGTGTGAGAAGATTTAAATCAAGTGTGTGACATACCTCTTCCTTAAGATCCTTATCTTTCATGCTCTTAAGGGCACGTTCGAAGATCTTCCTTGCACGTGTTTTTGCAGCCTCACTAACTGGTTTCTCCTCATCCTCCTCTGTCTCTTCCTCATCATCATCTGGAACGTTAATTTCGAAATGTGCATAACTGATCCAGACCTTCACGTGATCTGTCTTCTCCAACAATCGCTCGTAAAGGTGTCTAGTGCGATCGTACTCTCCTTCTTCCTCCTCAAAGTCGATATAGGCTTTCCATAATAATTCGGGCATATCAAGAACTTGTTGACTGATTGCCAACTCGAATATCGCGCGAGTACGTTCCAGATCATCTAAACCTCGTTCCAGTTCAGCAAATTTGATCCAGGCTTGACAATTAGCTGGATTCCATTCGATATGTTTCTCATAAAGGGTACGACATCTGACGAATTCGAAAAGTTTGATCTCTAGCTCAACATAACCTTTGAAAAGCTTATCTTTAGGACACATTCCGATGGCTTGACCTAAAGTCTTTCTGGCGGCTTGTAATTGCTGTTGTCGAATCTCGAATTGAGCCTTCATGAGCCAAATCTTGGCAAATGTAAATTTCTTGTGGGGTATCAATTTCAGACACTCTTGATAGATCTGTCTCGCTCGCTCAACATCTTTCGACTCCATTTCTTCCCAAATAGCATAAAAAATCCACAAATAAATATAACGCCTCCAATGCCTCTTCTCCTGAGTTGGTGGAATTTGAGCAATGGCCCTCTCATAAACATCCCGAACTCGATCGACATCCCCTGAAGTTTCCTCTAATCTGGCATAGTCGAACCACGCATCGTAATTTTTGGGATTCTCTTTTACCTGCTCCTCATATTGAACTCGACGCTTCGAGATAATTACATCTTCCACACCTTCACGATCACCGAATTGTTTCTCGAAAGTCGTATAAGCTTTATGCAGGGAAATAGACTTTGATCGTGCCATACGGTCGAGGGCATATTTGTAAATGGCTCTTGCGCGTTCGTACTCCTTTAACTTTGCCTCAAATCTCGCATATGCAATAAAGAGTCTCTCATCCATAAAGTCTTCACCCAAAGCTTCAACAGCTGTGCCAAATACCTCTCTAACCAAATCACTAGTTCCATACTCTTCTTCGAATCTGGCCCATTTGATCCAATTTCTTGGTTCGGGATGTACCATAGTAAATCTTTGGAAGATTTCCCTAGCTCTTTGAAACTCGCCATATCTTTTCTCCAATTTGATATAACTGCTCCAAGCTGCCTCATCCGGTTCCCAAGACATCCATCTCTCGAAAACTTGTCGTGTGCCGGGAATGTTACCAAGCATTTCCTCCATGTAACAATATTTGTACCACAATTTATCAATTCTTGGTAGAATAGTGACGGCGCGATCCAACAAATTTCTGGCATGATTTATATTCCGCGATTTCATCTCCGCCTCGATATATCGAATCCATAATGTGACAGATGTAGAGTCGACATCTAATGCTCGTTCAAAAACGGATCGTGCTCGTTTGAATTCTTTCTGTTCCAATTCCCATTGCGCGTACCTCATCCAATTATTCATATTAATCCTATTCCTCCTCACGTAATCCTCGAACTCTTTTCTTTTCCTCCCTTGGAATTCATGAAGCTCTTCGAGATCAGCAAACCGCTGAGTTGGTGCTTGAAGTCCTGGTTCTTGACGGTCAACAGCTTCTCGTAGAAGTTGTTCTGCTGAGATTTGGATGGCACTGGCGGCCTTGTTTTTGACCTTTGGGGGCCCTCGAGCTTTCTCATATTCAGACTCCATGGTGGCGGTAGAGTTTAATTTCTTGACGAAACAGTTGATGTAATTCTGGTTCGCGTTCAAGGCTTGAAGGTGTCGCGATAGTCAAAAAGATTGATTAGTAATATAATCCGCACCTACGCTAGCGGCCGCCATTCCGGCTCGAGCTCTTCTCTAATCGATTTTCTATACCTTCACGCGCCAACTACAACAAACAACATTACATTTAAGATGTCGACTCTCGCAGATGAATTATTGCAAGATTTTGAGGATTCTGGATCCGAAGGTGAAGGGGAGGATAATGCACATCTTTTTGCCGACCCTGACGAGGTCGCCCTAAGCATGAATGGGAACGCGACAGGACTTTCAGGCGCAAGCGAAATGGAGCTCGATGGCGATGAAGAAGCAGTCGATGAGGATGATGAGATGGCAGGAATGACTAGTGGTGCTATCGATACTGCAGAAGATGAGGAGGCGACCAAAGCGAAAGTTGAAAAGATGCAACTTGGTGGAGTAGATGATGTGCGGAGTGTAGCAGGTTTGATGAAAACGTTGGAACCAGTTTTAGAGGTCAGTAGTATTTTGTTTTTCCCTTTCTCAACTTGGAGACCTATGGTTTACATCTACTCTTCCGTGTCTTAGCCCTGACTCTTTCCTCGATTTGACAGAAAATCGCACATTTTCAATCATTACCTCCCGATAAACAAACAACCTTCGTAGGCTCGGTCGAAGACAACCCAGAATATCATCTCTTAACGCAAGCAAACACTTTGTCGACATCTATTGATAGTGAAATCATCCTAGTACACAAGTTCATACGAGATCATTATTCTATTCGATTTCCGGAATTGGAAACATTGGTCACCAATCCATTGGACTATGCTAAAGTTGTCACTATCATTGGGAATGGACCTATGGACTCAGAAAATATCAAGACGCTTCAAACATCGAAGGATAATCGACTTGGTGCTACACTAAGATCCGTTTTGGATGGTCCATCTGTTATGATTGTTACGGTCGAGGCAACCACTACAAAGGGTCGAGAAATGTCACCGCATGAACTTGAAAGAGTACTTCGTGCTTGTGACATGACCCTTGCATTGGACAAAGCGAAAAAGACTTTAACTGATTATGTTCAATCACGCATGAACTTATTCGCTCCAAATCTTACAGCCCTCATTGGATCTCTTACAGCGGCACAACTACTCAATTTCGCTGGAGGTTTGACAGGCTTAGCAAAGACACCTGCATGCAATCTTCCTCCTCTAGGATCCAATAAATCATCCGGAACAGGTTTCGCTACTAATGTTGGAGTTCGCCAACAAGGATTCCTTTATCATTCTCCTATCATTCAAGGCATTCCTAATGATCTCAAGAAACAGGCTATGCGTATTGTCTCCGCTAAAGTTGTCCTAGCCGCAAGAGTTGACCGCGTTCATAATAGTCCAGATGGTTCTACAGGTGAAGAATTGAAAGAACAATGTATCACTCGACTCGAAAAGCTCACTGAGCCCCCTCCAAATAAAGGAGCTCGCGCATTGCCAGCTCCAGATGATAAACCTGCACGCAAACGTGGTGGTCGACGTGCTCGATTGGCCAAGGCGGCAACTGCTATGACCGATTTGAGAAAAGCACAAAATAGAATGGCATTTGGAAAGGAAGAGAAAGAAGTTGGTTATGGCACTGGTGATGGAACTAAGGGTATGGGTATGATTGGACAAGGCAACGACGGACGTATTCGAAATATTCAAATCGATCAACGTACAAAAGCCAAACTTTCCGCAAAGAACAAAGGGTGGGGTACTTCGACTCCTATGAGTGGTTCCGCATCATCACTTCGAGGATTTGGTCAATCAGCTGGTAATATAGATTTACGGGGTAAAGGCTTAAGAGCATCAGGTGTAGGAGGATTGAGTACTAGTACTGGAGCTAGTGCAGGAACTGCTAGTAGTTTGGCATTTACACCAGTTCAAGGATTAGAATTGGTAGATCCAAAGAGAGTAGCAGAAATGAAGAGAAAGAGGGCAGCAGAAGAAGATAAATGGTTCAAAGGTGGAACTTTTACTCAAGTCGGAAATGGTGGTGGTGATAGCAGTATGGGACCTCCTCCCAAGAAAGTAGATTCTGGTGCTGGTAAAATGGGTCCACCTGCTTTGCCGAAGAAAGCTTAAAGAAGGTGGGTCGGATCCTGTAAGATGGAAAAGGGAGTTTGACGGGAAGGGAGCATCATTATGGCGTTTTGGGGGCGGACAGGTGTTTTACAATACCATAGCAAGCAGAGCTTTTGCTTATCCAATGACTGGCAGAGAATTGAAGAATGCAAGATTGTTTCAAATCACCAAATGCTTCCCAATAAATTGATCCTGTATTCATCACCTGATGACAATGTTGACAGCAGTTCACATTATTTTTTCGCCCAAATGTTCATCTTGCAATCAATCTCAAGCCTACTCCACGACCATACTCAATCCCGCCTAGCTTCATACTGTTGCTTTGCTGTTAATGCGTTGACATGCTCCTCTAAAAGTTTCTCTACCATGAACATTCATTCCATTTTCAAGCAAGAGTTCCAATCAATCTCCAAACTCACTCAAATGACATCTTTCACTGGCTCATTTACCATCTGGATTCTATATGTAATGTTGTCTATCCATTGAATGGACATTGAATACAGACCTTGTCTATCATGCCTATGTTTCGCCTTGCATCAATGAGCTACCATTATGAAGTCAAGCTCGTTTAGTTTATTTGCCCGCCGTGATCGATCCAACAACATGCCACCAATCCGGATTTCTCGAATCGGATCTTTTATGGCCATAACCTGATTTTCAAGGATAGCCAAATCTTCATCCCCAAATGTCTTTTGAATACCAGATCGATTGACTAAAAGACGAGCTGTACTTGTAGGATCACAAAAGTGGAATGTGTGGGGTTTTATAGCAGACGGATGTTACGGAATGAAAATGTTACCAGACTTCTATCACGTACTCAATTGCTTTTTCTCTTCATTGATTTGAATGTCTTGCGATGTTAAGCTCAGTGCTGTTCATTTCGAACATTGTCTCCTCACTCAATCGTTACCCCCCTTACAAAACGATATCAATTCTCTCTCCCATTCGTCTTAACTTACCCATATACACTACCTTATGCTATCTCTTTGGCTCTAAATAATGACCACTTATACATGCAAGCAACAGTAGTCCGAGAACAAAGTTGATAAGTACAAGTAGCTCATACTCAGGTTCGTAGCCAGCACCACGTACAGGTAGAGATTCGTCTTTGCTGGCCTCCCCCGCCGCATCCATACGATGCCCATATCCATCCATCTATCCATCCATCTCCTTCGTCTGTTCTACAGGTACTTACGGTTCCCAAGCCAGTCTACCTCTGCTCCACTCAACCGTCCCCTTGGGTAACTTACAGGTTCCCAAGCCTCTATCTACCCATCCATTTAGGTAACTTTCAAACAGGTTCCCAAGCCCTATCTGCCCCCGTTTACCACCAGTAACCACGGTTGTCACCATTCCTAACCACAGGATCCAGTCTCATGATGGAGTTCCTCGTAACGTTCCTCATAGTTTTCCACCCAGAGATACCCCTCTGGGCTCTGTTAATCCCAATTGCGACTACTTTATGAGCCCTAAGTAGCTCCTTGTAAACATCAGGTGCGTTGCTGGGACTTACAGCCGGGACGGTCGTTGGCAAGACCCAAGTGCTACGCTGAGCAGGCGGAAGTAGACTTTGCCCATTTACCCAGGTATTGTAGTCCTGGGCTCGTTGTTGGAGCTCCAAAATCTCCGGCTTTAGCGCTGAAGGGCACTTGTAACATCTTGCCCGTTGGGCTTGGCAGTATGTGCACTTCGTATCGGCTCCCATGGTGAGAGCATGCTGGGTTGGTTGATGAAGCACACAGCGCTCGGTAGGATCGAGGACCAGTCGGATCACGCAGCGCGAACAAGTTGGGGTGGGCTCGATGGGTGTCGGGGATCTATTTAGAGATAATAGTTAGTTTAATTGTATAGAATCGGTCGAAATCAATGAACAAATTAGGTCTAGCTTGTAGAACTTGGTAGATAGACGGCACGCATTGAAGAAGAAGAAGAAGAAGAAGAAGAAGAAGAAGAAGAAGCAGTAGGATATAATACGTACCCTGTATCGGAACCAGAATCATCACCACTATCAGGTGATTGACTAGATGATTTAAAATTATTAGCTCAGTATCTAGGCTATTATCAAACGTTGAACGTAGTATAGAAGGTCGCATAAATCGAACAAATCAAGCATTCGCTCTTACGGTTGAATATCTGCCATCGTAGCAGGAGGACGAAGCACCGAAAGAACCAGGAAGTTAATGCGGCGACGAAGAAGAAGGTTGATGGCAGAGGCGCAAGGTAGAAACAGCGAAAGGAAGCAGCGAAGCAAGAATCAAAGATTGCGTGGGAAAACGTCGAATTTCGAGTAAATACTCGAATTTCTTAATCTTTGTTGTTGCTAAAGAGTTCAAAAGAGGTCAAGAAAGGCAGTAAAGTAATAAGAAACTTAAATTAGCACGTGTTTGGATTAACTCAACTATTACACCAATAAGAGGTTTTACTTAGTCGCTTAGTAGAAATGCCCCTCGAGGGGGGAACATTAAGTTGATGGGAAGTTTATCAATCATGTGACTTGGAAACAACTAATCGATTTTTGATATTTATGGATAATCTAGTTCTGAGAGTCTGAGATAATAGTTGTCTAATTGTGTCTAACGTCTTTGAGTCATCTTGTTACTTGGTGGTTGTGTTCATCTAATGGCTTTGATTCATATATCTAATCTCTCAAACAAAACAATGAGTCTATTCGTCTCCTAATCCTATGGAAACTAATTATTATGTCTTTATCATGCTTAAAACTAGACAAAGATTCTCTTGTATGCCTCAAACTTTGGTCATAATGTCTCAAATGCCTTCATAACAGCTAAAGAATTACTGCACGTCTTTTGACGATAGATATTAGAACTTTCACAACAGGTTGTCGTTTTAGTTTACTCTGTTAGCATTTGGCCATAGATTTGGTCCCTTATCATTTCAAAATTTGATTATTTAACAACTTTCTACCGTCTCTAGGCTGTATCTTACGAGCCGCGAGCTTGTTAGTGCCTTTTATTTAATTATATAAAGCTACTATTCGTCTCGAGTGAAATCTAAAAGACGCATCTAAAGTTTCATAATCCACTGGATGACTTTAGCTTTAGATGTTTGTATCTTTAGACGATATTATTAACATATCTACAAAGCTACTGTGAGACAATCGTCTACTACGAACGCCAAGCTTCAGATAACAACAGTTGAAATTCTCACCTACAATTTATGATTACTACAGAAATACATTATCTTGTGATGAAATACAAATAAAATCCTTAACATATGTATTCTGTCTATGTTATACAATTATTACCTGTTCTTAGATAACTTTCAGACCGGTACTTCAGACACTTCAGTTACTTCAGATACTACTCGCTAATGAATATCGGCAGATTGTAAGTCCTATCATAAGAACATATCAATATTAGATTAGACATTCATAATTAACTAGAGTTAAAGTCTACACTGAAGATACATTTCATGATCCTACCATGATAACCAGAAGCTGTTTGTACTAGGATTACATATACACTATACATGAGTTCCTCTTTCCCTTCTCACTTCTACTACTCCTTGATTCCCTTCTCCTTATCTTCCAATCCTATAATATATTTTGTACACCTTCATAAATGTACTCCAGTACTCTAGCAACACCAAAAATATCCACAAGTTTATGCTCTTACATTTTCACATTACACAGGAGAGGTGAGACTTTGAGAAGCCCCGCAATTTAAGCGAGCGTAGCTCTGGAAGCCGAGCTCGCCGAGTAAGCTCACCTAACTACGATTAAGCGAATGCATGATGAAGATATCATTATTCTCAGGTCATGCTGTTCTGTACGAGGGCGACCGGTTCTCAAATTTTAAAAGCGAACCTGATAAGTGAGTCGGGAAAAGGGTCCTCTTCAGGTATATCGTGGTCTGAGGGAAATCTTTCTTGGACTTCGGAAGATGCCTTGAAGATGGATGGGGATAAGAACTAGGATTCGCCCCTTTATTCGCCTCGATCGCAGAAAATGGCGATAGTAAAGTCCCGAAATATTCACTGCAATCATCAAACCAAGCCATTCATACGAATCACTTTTCACCCTTTCCTACCGACGGAATTATGTCGTTTCCTACAACGCCAGATAGTTTTTCCATGTCGTTTTTCTTGTTTTTTCCCCTAGGTACTTACTTTCTCTTGCAGTTGCAGGAATTAGAATAAAGAACTAACGATGAGTTTGCAGACAAAGTATTATAAATACTCGACTCGAATATGATCAGGAGCATGATAAGAGATATTACTCTACATCTCAGGAAACAACATTTCATTTCTTTCATTTCATGTTTGAGATGATGGTGATGAGGTAGCAGTCATTCGTATCTCCCATGTATAGTGTAATAATTATATCAAAATGAATGCAAATGAAACCCCCATCTAACTCTTGAAGTGAATGAAGAGCCATAAACTGTGTTACTATTTAGTCACCACAGAATCTAGTCAAAAGACATCAACATTCATCAATCCAAGAAGGAAGCCTTACATGAACATAATACCAGTAGACTGAAATAGTCATCAGCCAATTACCCCTAATATTATTCAAAAAATTTCGAAGGTATCAGCGAAATTCTCATCTAGAAGTTTAAAATCTAGATCTAGATCTAGATCTACTAATAGAAAACTGGCCATGCTGACTAGAGATTACAGTTTCTTCTTTTCCGAGGAAACACATAATTAATAAATCAACGACGTATGTTATTTCCTTATCTCTGTATATACTTGATCATCAGTCAGATTTGACTGATGTGAGATTATCAATCCAAGCCCAAGCCGCATCGGCTATTCCAACAATCAATTGTAGAGAAAGAAAGATGCTTGTATGAAAAGGAAGGACATTTGAGGGGAAACGGGGAGCAGGTGGCGTTCATTCAGAGGTTTCCTCACCTCATCGCTCTGTCGAAATTGCGAATATTAGACTAAAATTGGGTGTCATCGCAGGAGACAGAGATGGAGATGAGATGAGAACTTAGACGAGAAATGCGAGGAAGAAATCCAAGTGCGCCAGCCTAACATATTCCAAACCATTTTTGTCGAAGACTTTCATATTAAAAGTGATGCAAATATACCAATCTATCATGGAGTTAATTTTTGCAGGAATCAGATATGTGATGTCTGCTTGAATCGCACTATGCTCTGAAAAAAAGAGAGATAACAATGTCATCCCACTCATGCTACTTACTTATCCTGTCTCTCGGTCCAGTTGTCTCACTATACCGAATGGATGAGATATCTCACTCTCATCTCCACCTAGTCGATTTCGATAAGTGTGGAAGAATGAGTTGCGCAGTTGCGTAGTCGCGTAGTTACTTGATGCGCATACAGTATATTTATCGTCTCATACTTCCCTCATATATTGTATTTCATATTTCCCCCAACAACAACAAAAATTATCCTCCAACGTTCCTTGGCCATCTTACATCTGAGATCTTACATCTTTACATCACATCTTATACATCATCCAGCGATTTGCAATAAACACAACCACATGATTGCCAATCCGCACTTCTAAAATTTAAAGAGATCAGCAATCTCCCAGCTTTACTTCTACAAATGAGACTCCTGTTTACATTTATATCTCAATTTCCATCGCGCAGCTACTAGCCACTACAAGCTCATCTCAAATTTCCCCTTAATTCTTGATTCTCCTTAACATAATGTTATATCGCATTTTATCATATCACAGAATTTAGTTGGACGTCTTCTCTCTATCTACATATCCATAAACACGCTTTCAACCCGATGTCCAAAATAGAGGTATATCTCATCTCGCTTATCCCCATCTAATCACCTCTTTCCTCCTGATCACTCTTCCCTTTCTTCTTCGTTCTTGCCACTTCCCACTTCCCCCTCCTTCTCCTCCTCTATCTTCCTCACCCCCACACCCCCCTCAAAGTAACTACACAAACCGTAGATCTTACCTCACTATTTCCTCACTCTAGCCTCACCCTAAGTTCACCATCTTCAACCCACTCCAATCCGCACACATCCCGCACCTCAACCCGATTCTACCCACTCTACCCACCTCACCCGCACACCTCGGCCCTCGCCCTTCACACCTTCTCCCACCATCTCTCACCATCTCCCCTCACTATTCCCCATTATTTCCATGAAAAATCATGAATTATCTAGTTCACTAACCAACTAACTACCTCAACTAACTTCATCAACTAACTTCACGGATCCATTCTTTGCCATCCTATCCTATTCCATTCGATCTATCTCTCACCTTCCTATTCCAGTAATATACCTCTTTCGTTATACCTCCAACCTTTTTCATCACATCCTATACCCTCTTCATCACACCCTACACCTCATCCTATCTCCATCTCCATCAAACCCTAAACCGTAAACCCCTCCACCATTCCCCATCCATAAACAAGTAAGACATACGACATACAACCCACAACCCACAACCTACCAACAACTAGCTCCCCAACCCACCATACCAACCTAACGACTTAAACCTCCAACACTACCATCCCACTACCATCCCACTACCATCCCACTACCACCCCAACACCACTCCCAAAGCAAAACTCAATCACACAACCAACTCACAGACGCACGATACACCCTCCATGATTTCTGTTTCCGAAGCAAGCGTCGCAATATGACTTGCGATATACTGACATCTAGCTCCAAACCTCACCAACCCACCAACCTAATGACTTGAGAATACGACGCGATCAACACAACACGAATCACAACACGAATCACATCACATCACATAACCAAACCAGACCAAACCAGACCGAACCACGGAAATAAATATTTTTATCATTTTATTATTCCGAAGCGCGCGAAGCCCTGAAAAAAAAAAAAAAAAAAAAAAAAAAAAAACCGGAAGAGAAAAAAAATGGAGAAAATAATGGAGAGATACGGTACTTACTTACCTAGTAAGTTTGTAACCAACACACTAATCAGCAATCACCCAACCCTAATCACTTGAAATGTCAAAGAATTAGTTAGTCGGGAAGAAAGTACCGGTAGTGGTTGATCATTGATCTTCCACTAGGCACCATAACGTAGCATGTGTGCGGCACCCTCCCCTCTGATCCACGGAGCTTTCCATACTTTCTCATCTCTCTCATCTTCCTCTTCTTCTTCTCTTTCCGAATCTCAATCTCCGCATCTACCTCTTGATTTACCTTTCGAGCTCTCTCCTCCTCTCCATCATCATCCACACCTAGATTGCCATCCCAATCCCCATTCCCCAACCCGCTCAGACCCCCAACACTACCCACCGACCAACCCCAATCCAGCAACTCCAACCTACAAGCTCCAAACCAATCCCCATCACCACATCCTCCGCGCCACCACCACCACCACCATCTTCACCTAAACACCCGCACATCCCCTCATCCGTGCATTACCGGAAGCTTACACCCCCCATAGTCCCTGCGCCATCTAGACTTACCTCCGCCCACGATACTAAGAAAGCCCCTCCTGCGAGCCCGATTTCTCTTAGACTCCGACTCCAACTCCGACGCCGACTCCGACGCTGACTCCGACTCGAGACTATTGGTTCGGTGATACTCATGCAATGCCATGCATACCGCACGCACCATTAATAGGCCAGAGAGAGTGATGCACCGATATAACTTAGTTTTTTTAAGCTTCACATACGTATTGTACCGGTCGGACGGACCGTGAGGTCAGACTTTATGTTACGATGTGTACCGAAATTGTGTCAATAACAGATAAAGTGAAGATAAATAAGAAGCCGATAAAGAACAACAAAGTATAAATTGAAGTTTGATTGTGTGGATCGTGGAGTTGATGGATGGTGATTGGTGATTAGAGGTTGGGAAGTGGACAAAATAGAGTTTAAGCCAAGAATTAGAGATCGAGCCACTGTGGGGGAGACCACTGATCACAAATTGGCCCAGAACTTCAAATTAATTAACCTATTTTACTTTAATCTGTAACTTTACTTGATGTACTTTTATAACATTGATGAATTTGTAAATGAGCCTTGACAGTCGTATCGATGCTTTGAACATAATTGGGAGTATCGAGGTAAGCTCTACCGTAAATATGGGTGCGCTGACGAGTACTTGATACACATTATTGAAACGAACACTGGACAAATATGCATCCAAACTTTTAAAAGTGAAAATTCTGCCTTGGCTATCACCTATTTGCACGGCGCGATATGACGTGATACCACAAGCAAGTAGGTAAACAGAAGTCAACCTCGGTCAATTAAACCTGCAATTCACATGCATTCGCACTTGTTATTAGCTTTTCTGAAATGGCAATAATGGATTGGTTATTCGCCGCCTGCAGATAGAAAAGGCACATCCATTCATACCTCGAGACAAGAGAAACGAACATGGATGATTCTGTAGTGTTTCTCCCGAATCCGAAGCCCAATTTGCATACCAATGCAAGCCAAGAACGCCTGAAGAAAGTACAACTTCCGTAAAAGTTTTCGGCATACCTTTAAATGTTCCCTCTTACCGATATTGGGAAGCCAAATAAATATTTAAAATCAAAGATATCATGCAGTATGGTGTGGAAGGATGAAAGCAACTAGCACAATACTAAATATGTACACCTGACAAGAGCAACAGGATCAATGGAACTACCTCAAACCCGGGCCAGGCCACCAGTTCAAACTATTGAAAGGGACCTCGACTTTAGTTAGTCGAGTCCCTTGGAAATCGGAGTTGACCGATAAAATTCATGGTGATAATTCGTTCATGCACAGCATCAAAACAATTTCGCCGGGTTGTTTACGCGTACATATCAAGCGTTACAATGAGAAAAGAATGATTGGATATTCAACATCCGATTTCATGTACATCATGAAGTACGCCACTGTTCTAATGCTTGACGGTTCACGCCGTTGAATGATTCCATGAAAATTTAGTCAAAAAATTGTTCAAACTACATAAACAGAGTTTATGTTGTAACCCGAAAGGTATATTTTCCAAGAACTTTGACATACAACCTATTATCGACGCGCATAAGTTCATGACTTCCAATGTCAATTCTTGACGGAAGCAAATCTCCATTCCGCTTGTTGCAACGTTGCAACACAACTTCTTGACATCACGTTCGTAAATTCATGTTGAACGGCATCCTCACCCTAACACTCTACCATAATCCCTGGTATTCGGTACCGATTTGGATCGGAAAGGAACTTTAGTCAAGTCACTCTAAAAGACCCTTCAGATTGGCGGGAAATGGTAGCTTCGTAATAAAATTGTAGTATTGTGTGATGTAACCAGTTGTTTGGAGGATGTTGTAATAGGATAAATGAGGGGTAATTATGTTAGATTGAGTAGTATTATTCGTACAACACTAGTTGGTATTCTCATTGATAATTATATGTTTCTTTTTAATTCTATTGACAGAAGGGGAGAGGAAGAGCTGTTGGGAAATTGCGAAAGAAACTTTTCTTTTCTGAGACATTGAACCATTGAATGATAGAGGCTCGAGAGAGTTTAGATTTCATGATACTTTTGGGATGTGATATCGATAAGAAAGACATTACAAGCTTGACTGGTGATAGATCTGCAAACCTAGATATTCATACTTGTGAATGAGCGACCTATTGATGAAATTAAACCACCCGTCCATATCATCCCGCCCATTTAAACTCCAAGGGTCCAATATACATAAAGGGTCTATTCACCCAGCACTCACGTACAACGCCCTCAAAGTTTATCGCGACTCCAAATTTCATATCCATACATCGATCACATCTCCTCCGAGATACTTCCGCAGAGTAGTGTCACACGTGGGAAACGTTAGAAGAATTGATGGAAATGTGACAGAAATGCATGTGGTAGATGTTGTGTACGTAGATGTTGTATACTTATAAATTTGTTTTAAATAGGCATTGGTGACTGGCGATCTTGCGGGATACACACGTGAAGAATTTCCAGCCGCTATAGGTTGTGCCACTCGGCTTTGTGTGCGCGATTGTTGACGGCAGAGTTTGAGAACCGTTTGTAGATTGGTTGGAGAGGACCAGGTGTGAGAGTGTGATTTAGATATTGTATGAAATGCTTGAGAACAATGAATTGAACTGAATGCTTTTGCACGTTTTGCGCAAAACATACCTTGTTGTTGATATCAAGTACACATACACTTGATTGATAAGTAAGATCACTTTAACCTTAAATATCGTATCTGTGTGATATCCAGGTACCAGTATTGTACTCGGTTCAACTGGGACCATGGAAACGCTCAGACTGATTGAGGTTAATGGATGTTGGAACTTCGTATCAGTCAAATCAACTAGAACTTAGAAGTATGGGATCAATCAGACTCGTCAGATTCATCATACGATATCTGAGGTGATTTCTATCAACCATCCTGTATTAGTCATATATTATTCATCAATCATGTGACCATATCTCATCGACGCATCGACGCATCGACGCCACGAAGGTGAGCTTCTCTCCCTTATCGTCGATGATTGAAAAAATCATATGAAACATCCGTTCCGCCCAATAAATCACATCATTTTAATACTTTTTTTCCTCCAGCGGGTCCTCCTCTTAAATCGAATTTGACTCAGATCATCGTCATAGGGGATCTCGATCTCTCCAAACAAGCTTCTAGAAAAATCTTTCCACTATATAAAATAAATGTTCCCCTCGCATTTTTTTAATCGAACCCACTCCGAATCTCCTTCAGAGTTCCAACTATGCCACGTTATCAAGCAGAGTTAGAAACATGGTACTTGGGTCCTCACGAAAATGTTCTTTTGATCAGAAAATTAACGGTAGATCTTATTATAAAGCCAATATTGACTGAGTTGACTCCACTGAATCTCGATGACTTCCTGACCAGTTTCCGAGTATCATACCCTTATTTTCAAGATGCATCGACGATGAGGTTCGCATTAGGTTTAACTCTGCCCTGCCCTGTCAGCTTTAGCATCATCTAGACCGCACTCTGACTAGGATGCGAAGTTTAAATATCCACTATACCTTGTCTCTGCTAGGAGACTCCAGGGCCCATGCTCCACCGATTTCCACAAGATCACGTTTAGAGGATGAGAAGCGACCGGGATAAGCAGTGCTCCACTCCATGATCCGCTCTCCAACCGCTTTCAAAGGGAAGGGCTCATCTAGGATAGGACTCACAGGAGCTGTGAGTAGGTGCCCAAGTTATCTTCCTGGTCGCAGAGGACCCCGACTAGGGATAAACAGATCCTTGTACCCTGATTCAAAACGAAACCCCTCATATGCATGCTATCTATGCTCATTGCTCATATGTATGCGAGTGTGTTAAGCTTCTCCATATCCACGATGATACACCCGTTTTCCCGATCAACTTTTGTCCGTGTGACGTCAGGGAATTACAGAATCCCATGTTTGAATATCTGGGTACCTCCATCTTGGGCTTGGGGTGGAGAGTATAATGAGAGACATGATGGTGACTCTTGTTGTCTCGACTCTTTTTGTTTTGACTCTTTGCGTCGCAGGCGGAGAGGGAGATCACATAAATCACTTTATGGATAACTTCATTTCTTACATAACATTTTAACTTTGATACTTTCATCTCCGTACGCCGTGCCCAATATCTATGGAAATTGCTTTGATCTGGATTCATCTTGATTCAAATCATTCTCATCACAACCCCCCCAAGATCTACGGCAGTTATTGATGAATTATTTACCCTTTTTGGGTGGCGTCTGGAGAATAGCTAAGTATACAATTTTCAGACCACTCGAGGAAAATCATAACATCCAGATACACACACCAACAATACAACAACACACACACACATACACACACACACACACACAGAGACAGACAATCCATCACACACACAAACACACATACATACACACACCTCTTCCCTTTTCATTAAAAAAACTTTAAAGGGTCCGCTGCCCAGAAACCTCAATCCCTAAGCTAAAGTTAACGAGTGCGTGCGCGTTTCGGCATCATCGGCTTAGTTATCTATCTTTGCAGCAGATACCTCTCATACCATGTCAAAGTCCAAGCTTCTTGTTCCTGGCTGATGGAGCAACGGGTCCCCCAAACTGACTGCGGATGAATGAACAGGCAGTCATCCGTACGTAAGTATTTTGATTCTATACCATTTCAAGTAGCATTTCCTACTTTGGGTTGGGGAGGTTGTCACACTGGAAGTACGTTCCCGCTCGGGGGTTTTCTACCGGGATTTGGGATTCCTGTTCTTTTGAGATGTGTATGTTGTACAAGCTGTTGTGTTTGTACAGGCTGTCGATAAATTCTTCGAGATTGGGAGAGAGAGAGAGAGAGATCAAATCACCAAAATCAAACGGAGGAATCTCTCCGCTACAAGTGACCTCATCCTGGAATATTACCCAAAGCATAGGACAGATAAATTCAAACATGTACGGTAGGGTCTGACTTTGTATGACAATGGTTGAGTGTGGAACGCATATGTGTGAAGAGAAAGTTTCTTTCCAAAATTCAGAAAAGTTGGCAAAAGTTGTGGTCCGCACGAGTTACACAATCGTGGTGTACAGTAGAAAGCATCAGTTCTACGATTATCTGGCGTGGGGTAGAGGCGGAGATGAGTCCGTCGCTCCTATCTACCTATCGGAGTTTTTTTAATTGAAGGCGGGCGAGAAACATCAACTTCAACGTCAAGATTCGCAAGATATAATTATAGGTAGGAAGAAAAAGTCACGATGCTTTTGCGACGACGAGGTGAAATCAATATTTTGTAGATGATCCTGAAATGACTTTTCGTGATATCAATTACAAGGAATCGGCTTTAGTTATTTATCCAATCCATACTGAATGTGATGTATATATATGTACCTAAGAACCAAACCCAAAAAAAGAGGGGTCTAGGTTACTGATAAAACCAACGCGATATCATCTATCTGTCTTTCAAATAATAGGCAATGAGAGCAGAGCATAGCATATGCATCCTCGGATCGACGAGGGAAAAAAAAAGACTGTGTAACAAAAGCACTCCACAAACCGATATTTTCAAACTCACAGTTTCATCCAGCCTGTACTTTACAGGTCACACGGAATACGATATGACGAAGGAGATATCTCCGCGCGCTGGCTGGCTCGCACGGTAAAGAGGATGAGTGTTGCATGCATATGTATGAAAGCGGATGCGGATTCCCATCTTCTCCCATTCTTGTGGAAAAAGAAAAAGGGTGTGGTGCGTGGGTAGGTAGGTAGTGAGGATTGAGCACGGAGGAATATGGATAGGGGTGAGAGGAGGTGAGATAATGATCCCGAGAGCCTTATGCAGTACAGATTTCAATGTATGTATGTATGTATGTGTGTGTGTGTGTGCAAGTAGGTGAATTTTGTAGGGTTGTACAGAGAAACCGTGATCAATGTGATATCTGATAGAGAATCGGGAATGTGAGTACGGAGACCCTCCCGTCTTCAGGACCCTTTCTGAGATACTGGTACGAGGGTGAGGTGAGGGAGCGTAACGGAAGCAACCAAACGGATCAACGAGACGAGCGAAGAATGAATTCTGAGAAAGTGGGGCCCGAGGAATAGAAGCAGGCGGAAAGGAAGGAAGGAAGGAATGAGGAAAAGAAAATTGGCACCTAGGTATGGTGTACCGGTACGTTGGCGAGGTAGATCTAGGGGTCTGGCTGAGATAAATACAGAGATCTACCATGTCAGCCTGTGAGATCTTTGGAAAAAGTGTCTGGGAGGGGGATGGTGGAAAGTTAGATACCTGGTTACTTACCTATGGAAGAGAGAGATTAAGATGGGAAAGTTTCGTGCGGTTCGACTAGCTGATGGTTCAACTGGGGGATACGAATACGTTAGGTTAATGATGATTGAATTTCAAATTTTCCGATAGTCTGGTTTGGATTTAGTATACGGGCACTAGAGATTTTTTACTATGGGTGAATGAATGGATGGATGGACGGATGGTTCTTAGAGGCAAAAAATCTTATTTTTATCCCTTGGCTCATATGTATCTATGACGGGGACAACACGCTGAAACAATGATGACTTCATTCTTCATGGCTTAACTCTTCATTCTCTGTTACGCTCGTGAAGAGAATGGATTGCGCTTCGTAATGAAAAGTATCCTTCGTTATACGTGTATGTGTGCTGTAAGGTATTATCAAAACGCCGTGAAAATATCCAAGCAGCAAAATGTATATCTACAGATCTCCATATACTTACTTTTACTATATATACAATGTATCTAACCTAAATGCTAGGTACCTGCCTAACCATTAGACTTTCAAGATGGGAAAGAAGAAAATATGATGCTGTACAACATGTGCTTTGTACGGCGTAGACGCAATGTTTTAGGAACAAAGTGGAGTGGGACATCGCCTTCCATCTATCTGTCTTTGGGGAGAAAAGATAATATGATGGATATTTCGGCATTGGAAATTGGTAAATTGTAATTGTGATATGACCCCGGTTTTTTGGTTTTTGGGGAAATTTTACGAGATACTAGATATTAGATACTTCCTAGGGAAAATATCTGTTGCAATTATTATTATCATAACACTGTGTTCAAAAGTTAAGTTTTCTTACTATTGACTTGGGAGATCTTAGATGAGAGTTTAAATGTGGTGACGAGAGAGCACGAGACCAATGGGTGATAGCGTAGTATACCTAGGTCGTGAGTGGTGTGTGAAGCAGAAAGATTAAAAAGGTTCTTGGGAATTAAAATTCGTTTCGTTGGGGGTTAGCTGCTTGGGGATAGATGGATGGATGGATGATGAAAAGTTGGAACTGGGAAGGGAAGAGGTTTTGGGTTGGGGATCAAGTGGTAAGTTGCAATGGTTACGATATGTCAAATGGATTTAGTCCGATTAGCAACGATTTAGCATGATTGCTAGGTAGGATGGTCAGCAACGATTAACGATTAACAACGATTAAGACCGATTTAACAACGATGACTAGATGCTAGATGCTAGATAGCTAGATAGCTAGATAGCTAAATAGCTAAATAGCTAAATAGCTCGGATCAAATAATCATCGGTCGGGATTTAGACGGCTTGATTGTTATACTTCTTCCGTCCGCCAGTCCGTCTGTGCCTGCCCGGGCACTCAGGCAGACTGAGTGACTGGGTAGATGGATCGTGATGTGTAGCATGGGAAAATGAAAATCATGTAGGTTCCTTCTTCTGCATCTGATTGAACATACACAGTATTCGTGCAGGAAGGGCATGCATCCAGGTGCGTGTGTATGGATTCGTTTGACGGTTAAGGTTGCAAGTCGATACTGTACCAAGAAGGACGACATATGATAAGTCTTTCACGTTGCTAGTTAAGCAGCAGTCAAGTACCTACATTCACCTACATCTCACATCCATAATAGGGTTTCCGATGCATCGAAGTTGCTGTCGGGCTTAGATCCAACTCATCGACCTACCTGCCTATCTCATGGCTTCTAATTTTGCGATTAAACCCAAGTCAGTCAAGTGGGCGTTCTTCATCCGCTGGCTTGGGTAAAGATTGTCATCTATGTACCGTATACTCTTGTATCCCAACACCCCGGTCGAAACCTTCACGGAAAAAAGACACAATATACGAAATAGGCGATACTTAACTTGGGACACTTATTTATATTATTACCTAGGTATCTAGTAATCATGCTGCCGTATATCACATACTATACCACATACACCACCCAATACCACATAATACAAACCATTCTTTGGATTTCTTTTTTCCCCCTTGTATTCTTTAGGGATATTCATCAGATTCCCACTTTCCCATTTCTGTGCCCCACCAATATTTCCAACATTTTTTTCGATTTTTGAACCCTTCCCCTTCCTTGAACCCTTTTTGATTTGACCCTTCATTATTCATCCCTAGTCATCCCTAGTCGTCACTTAATCCCAGTTTCCACTCCCATTTATCCACATTAAATTCAAAAAAATAAAAAGAAACTAAAGTCAAAAAAAAATATAATTCATCAACTGCTCAGGCACATTTGACTCTAAGGAAAGGGACCCATGTGTAATACGTCCCAAAGCCAAATCCCATATCTTTCTTAAGAATCCCATCTTGTCAATGACCCAACCATCCCCTCACCTCTTTATATTCCAAAAAATATATCTCTGAGAAATTTACTCATTATCTCTTCTTGTGCGTACGTTCAATTCAATTCATATTGAAAAGAAAATAAAGCCGACGAGAGATCTTTTAATTCTTTGCTTCCGATATAAAAGATATACTTTTTATCAACACACACCGTACCTATCGTCAGAAGATTATCTCGACTTCTCGTCACCTCACTACCGTCAAACTTATATACGGTACCATTCCATCATCGCTGATAGTCACTACCTCGCTACCTCGCTATCTATCTATCCACCTCCTTCATAGGACGTCTACTCAAACTATTGAAGAGTTCTTACTATCAACCTCCTTCGAAATAGATATATTGACACAATCCTATATCTTTACTCGTCAATCAATCAATCAATCAATCAATCAATCAATCAATCATATTTTCATGCTTGTAATTGAGAAGTTGAAACTTATCAATTCAACTCAACACACCCATCATCGATATCCTCTCACCTCCCACTTTCACATGTCCTCGAGATTGTCTACTTCAAATTTGAATATCATTGTTCAATAAAGTAGCTTCAATCTTTGATCTCCTCTAATAAATAGTAGAATTTTTGTAATTCTTCTCTAATTAATAATACGAATTCCAATTCAATTCGCATTCCCCCAGATCCACCACAATGTCTTCCTCAAGAAGACCTAGCATGAAGGGTAGAGATTCCTCGGGTCGCGAAGTTTCCTTATTGAATTCCTCCACGACGGAGATGTCTCCATCTCCTCTATCACAATCTCAATCACAATTACCACAATTACCATTCAGACAACCTTCGTACGATTCATATGGATCGCAAAGATTCCCGCAAAAATCTTACTCGCCAAGCTCTCCACATATGGTTCGAACAAACTCCAACGCTTCAATTACAAGTCTTACGTCGGTACCAAGTTTATTACGCTCGGATTCTTACGATTCATATGAAGCTCGATCACCACTTACACCAACCTTTACCCCAAATTCTCATGGAAGAAATCATTCTTTCACCGAACAATATGGAAAGGAAAATCCATTTTATGAGCGTAACTCCATGGACGAATATCGTCCTTACTCCACACAAAAACCTTATCAATCAACAAACGTGCAACAATATTCCGAGGAACAATATTATCATGAAGATTCTTACCCAGGAGTTACTGAACGTGGACCTGGAAAACGTTACTCATGCCGATACAAGGAGCTTCACAACTGCAATAAAACCTTCACTACCTCCGGTCACGCATCTCGGCATGCCAAAATTCATACTGCCGAAAAAATGGTGTGCTGCACATTTACTGGATGTATGAAGAAGTTTACCCGAGCGGACAACATGAAGCAACATCTTGATACTCATTACAAGGACAAGCCTAGATCTGCATCGAGCAGCGCATCATCGAGTGGTAGATTGAATGGAAAGTCGACACTGACCATGCCTGCCAGAGTACAAAAGAAAGCTTCTCCTTCAACCAACAACTTGCAATCTCCAAGACCTAGGATGCCATCTCGAATCTTAACATCTGAAATTCCTCCATTCGATTTAAGGGATCAACGACAATTTCAACCCCAACAGGATCCTTTCTACACTCAAATGGGATCGGGTCCTTCGCCTACCCAAACAGATTTCCAAGGTCTACCTACCAGACCCAAGAGTCCCAATCGTTTGGATATACTAGCTCAAGCAGCATCGGAAAACATGGTTTAATCGGCAATTCTTAATATCTTACCAATTACGAGTTATTCAGAACAAACCAGAGTTGTACAGAACCATAACTTTTGCGCTTGGATCACCGATTTCCTCTCCCCGCACTGATATATCCTTTCAGCATATGCAGGTTATATTACAATTTTTGAGTACTGCATGAAATTCTTCTCCACATCTCATCGTATCTCGATTCTTTTGGCAGTTCTTGACTTCAAAATGGTTGTCATTGGATGAAAAAGAAGAATAGTGACAAATATATATCGAATGCATTTAAAACTGTATTTGGTTCTGGTTTTGGCGTTTTTCTCCCGTCGGTTAATTTGTTTGCCGTCGTGGTACCATTTTTTCGGATGGTCTTGGGCTACATATTTGTCTGATTCTTTCAATACTTATCGGGTATTCGGCTTGGATGATGGATGAGATGGTGATGCAAAAAGTTACTTGACTTTTATCCTCTTCAAGTATATACCATTTTTTCTTTCAGATGTGTGTGTGTGTGGGCGGTATTTCTTTTCTAAAGGTTCTTTTTCTTTTTTACATTATATACCATGATGATGCGGGTTCACGATGTTTTTTTTGTATGGCTTGGATGGAAGGATAGAGATGAATACGATTTTCTGATTCGATGGATTGACTTGGATCGATTCATTATGGATGATCAGTTGATGAGATGGAACGGAATGGATCGGAAGTAATTATGTGATTTGTTTGTTGTGGGTGGGAAGGAGAATCAAGGGGGAAATTTTATACCAAGGCTGGATGATCTGGATTGGGAATGGGAAATTATGGAATGGATGGCTTGGCCGGGGATTAGGGGAAAATATGATATAAAGGAGTTGAGGTTTTTATTTTTCATTTGTTTTTTTGAGGTCTGTTTTGAGTGGTACTTTTTGTACCTCACTTACTCGTGGCAATGGCAATGATACCAGGTTACACAAGTCGTGTATGTATATGAGCATAAGCTTGTCTGTTTCAGATGGAGGGGGGGATATTGGATGAGATGAGATGAATAGGATGAAAGATGGGATTGAGAACATGAAGTTGAGGTATTGTGTTTGTGTGTGTAAGGGAGGAAAGTTAGCCAGAGCTAGTTATATATTACTAGCTGAGTTGGCTGTGTTGGTACCAGCGTTAGGTATCAGCGATTATGAAATATAAATATCAATATAAAAAAGAAAATATTTTTAAATACTTTTTGATGTGATGTGATGAGATGAGTGTAAGAGTGAGTTTCAAGTGAGTGAGTGATTTGTTGTGAAGTGTGATTGTGAGTGCAGGGGGATGGGAGGGGATAGGATGATGAATACAGAGTGTAAATGTGAGTGCGGGTAACAAAAGTAAGTACCTACCTAGGTAACTCAACCCACCTATTATATAGCATGTGTTATATGTTATATGTTATATTTTCCATCAAATATAAAGATGCTAATTATCTATTAAACACAGCTGATGACTATCTAGGAGGCACTAAGCACTAGATGATGGATGATAGATAGTAGATAGATAGTAGATAGATAGTAGATAGATAGATGATAAATAGATGATAAATAGATGATAGATAGTAGATATCAAGAACAAAGTATCGTATATCTAGGGATAACATATCAGCTTGTATTGGTTGATGTGATGTAATGTGATGGATAGATTGTGTAGGTTGTGTAGGTTGTGTAGGTTGTATCATTTCTTCCTCCCCTGTCTAGGTATCTCTGCTGAGGTAGGTATCTCTTTCTCGTCTGTTTTGTTTTGTGCTGTTTTGTTTTATTAGAGTTTGTACTGTTGTTTTGTTTGGGGATTCTTGGGGTTGTCTGGGGTTGTTTATATGTTCGGCTATTTGGATTTTGGATTTCGAGGTTTTGGATTGGGGAGGAAGGGTTGGGGAGGAAGGAAGGAAGAATTGAGGGGGAGGAAAGGGGAAGAGAGGGAAGGGGAAGGGGGGGAAGAGGGTGAGGGTGAGGGTATTAATGTCTTAGTGAGATGTTTTATTCTTGCGATGAGTGTGAGGGGAGTGGAGGTTGTGAGGTTGGAGATTGGAGAGATTGAATCATGTAGTTTGTGGTAGTAATGGTGGTGGTCTGGTGATTTAATGAGATTATGAGATTGTGAGAAGAATGAGATGGGAGAAAGTGAATCAGGGGAGAGGAGAAAGGCAACATTGTTGTGATATGAAGTCATATCATTCAAGCATTTTAGCAAAGCCTAGGTAGTTCTATAGCGAACATTCTCGATGCTGGAATATACATATGGTAGATCATGTCAAGTGCTCTGCTAGATGATAAGTGAAGACAGAAGTGAAATATACTAGGTGGTTATTCCAATGAACAGACTTCACTCCACTTCATAACAGGCGACAACACGAGAAGTGTAAATACATACTTACAAACGATATAAAACGATATGCAAAGGGCATTTTATCACGTCGTGTCTCTCATCTTTCCTCAAGAGGGCGATGACCTTCAAACATGAATGAATCACTTCAACAAAAGTCAGCAAATGCTAAGTAGATTACTGCTTCAGAAAATAAACACCACATGGCGCACACATATCGTTTCGATTTCACCATGCTTACCTAGTATTCACAAAATTTCAGTTTTGCGAAAAGATCTTTTACTCCGCAACAAACACGATATTATCTTGAACTGGCCCGCCTTTGCAAGTAAAAACTGTAAGTGTTTTGTTTATTCCTTCTTCTTCGCTGATTTTCTATGAGTGGTGCGCGATGCTCTATTTGAAAGCATTCGACGTCTTCTTCGATGTTGGTGGCTTTCGTTGATTTTGAGAGTCGATGTCGTTTTCAGATCGATTGCGACCAGAATCAAAAAATGCGACAATCTTGATTTTGTCTCCCATATGATGGATGATGGACATCAACCACTACTATGCACGAGCTTCATACCCTTTTCGATTCTCTAGCTCAAATGGGACAATGAAGGTGCTTCGAGCGAAGAACTTGATTATGATGCGAGGTCTCTTTCGTCCATCAAGATACCTAATACATCTCTCATCATCTCATGCATTTCGCGCAGTTCCATGATGAATATTTGCTAACCAATCCTCTAATAGCTGTTCCTCGACTCATACCCTTCTACTTACAATACACCACTTGTGCTTCTTCGGGGGCATAAGTTGGTGCACACTCCCCCCCTCTGATCTATGGTCAGTTGTGTTTGCGTGTGCAAATTACAAAAAAGATTTAGAGTCTACTTACTTCGGTAGTAGTCTCGCCTGTCGTCTTTCGAGTCCACAAGCCGACGAGAGGAGCTCTTAAGTAAGTTCTTTTTTCCGAAATTCTCTTTATTGAGTTTCTCACTTCTATAGCGTCGTGTTGACACTACAAAATCTTAAATCTCCCTCCCCCACCTCCTCCAAAGAACAATTAGACCCCTAAAAAGGGTCCCAGAAAAGGACTTTCTTGGAGAATCAAAACTCCTGCCAGCGCTGGACCTAATGTTGGACCTGCAAAGAATTCTAACGTATCCAAAGGTACTAAAGGGTCTTCCTTTTTGAGCAGAGTTTTGGAAGAGCTGATTCTCTTCAAAGAAGATTCAACTAGACCAGTAAGTGGCAAGGACAAATCTTCTGGTCCCTGTATTCGTCAACAGAACAGGCCCAAAAAGGCAATGGTAGCTATTCGTCCGATTAAATCTACTGATAGTATGGAAGAGAGTACAACTCCAATACTTTTTGACAAACTTTCCACCAACTTTGATTTGTCATCCCAGGTTCCAAAGCTCATTATTCACATGGATGAATATGTCGTCAGTTTTCATGTGCATAACTTCGCTCTAGCTAATGTTGATTCTACCGTCTAAACACCCGATGACTGCATCTTCAAACATTTAAAATTTGGAGGTGACAATCCTGCCAACTGGAGCGTAGCTGGTATTCAATCTGAGTTTGCTGATGCATTGTAAACGCCTGGTCTTACCTATGATCAAGCGGTAGAGTTGTACAAATTTGGAAGAGGTATTTTGGATGAAGAAGCTGACGAGAATGTTAATGGAAAAGCTAGAGCAGGGTTCTTCGCGTTAAACTTTACAATAAAGGGTCGCGTATCACCACCAAGACTTCGAGATAATTGTGTACCTAACGACGACAGTGGATTTAGAGCTTTGAAGGTTTAAAGAATCTTGAAAAATGGTATCTTCGTGTTCACACTGGTCCGCAACTTCGGAAACTATAACGATGAGCTGGATGCATATTGAAAAGATGGGATCGCAGTTCGTTCACAACAAGGGTTATGGCCGATTTTCAATGACCATGTAACAGAGATAATAGGCCGACGATTCAAGGATTAGTACACGAATCCAACAAAATTTCTTCCCCATGAACCTTGAATTGCTGAGGCTTCCGGTGAAGAGAACGAGAATGGGATTCGAAGGTATGTTACACACGACGCAAGAAACAACTTTGGGTCAATGGCAGAGTGGGAAATTGTTCTCGGCGCGACTGTTATTCATGATATCGCAGCCTTAGTCAAGCTTAATGAACAATACTACAATTGGGATCGAACATATGAAGCAATTGTAAGGTGCGTAAAGAATGATTATGTTCAACTTGAGTTTGATGTCCAAAGTCGCGAGGGATTGTCCTTTCCTTCAATCAGTGCGGGAGCTCGATTTCTCGTCAGATATGGGAGATGCATGACAGCCGAAGACTCTAATGCCGAGTTAGAGAATGAGGAAGACAAGATTGAAAATGGTAAAACTCCAGAGGAAGTAGAGATTGAAGCCTCATCAGGTGCTACTAACATCACTTATAGCCAAGAAAGTTCTGAAACCAACGTGATAGACGAGGGCAACGGCGAGCAAGCCATCTATGGTTCCAGCGAAGATGAAGCTGCCATCCAAGACGTCTTCATTGACGGTATCAACAACATAGAATAGATCGCTCAAGTTCTCATGGCCGAGAAGAATAGACAATTTGTCATTTCTTTCATTATGCCTGAAGGTAAGAAAAGATAACGTAGGAAGCAAAGTCGATGTTCAACTAAAGGTCTTGAGCAACCGCCTTGCTACAACACGACAACTTAAAGCCATTGGTATGATTGTCGAAAATAAAGCTAGGGACGATACTTACGGACGAATTCTTCAGAGAATTATCCTCGGTGAAGGTATAGCTGATGTTACGGATGATATTGAGGATCACCTTCTTTCTCTAAAAGAAATCACATACAACCAACTACCACTTCTCAATCAAAAGGTATACGACCAGTGGCTTTAAAACTGTGCCCTTGACCCTATGCAACGAGAGGCATACGACGCAGTCATCGAAGATGCTTTACCAGCTACAATTAGTCAAGGCCAACCCGGAACTGGTAAAAGCTTCACTGCCGCTGTTACATGTGTTGGAATAGCACAACTTGGCTACAAAGTGCTACATGCCACACTCACCAAGGCAGATGCAGAAACCGTATTATTATCAATCTTCAACGCAACTCAGAAACTATTTGAAACTGTCGATAACCAAACAATTCGAGTGAATCCAGCGCCCGAACTTCCAGCCGAGATCAAAGAATCAAAAGAGAACTTCGGTATAATCCACTTCCCGGCTAACGCATCCACAGAAGATAACTTTATGAAGCGAGACGACGAAAGAAAAGATGACGAAGAAGATAATCCCCTCGAACCCTACTGAATCTCAAATCACTTCATAAAATCTTTCCAGCGTAAAGCCAACAATTCGGAATTAAGCAACACTCTCCGCACCAAAGCACGCAACTGGCTCGCAACACTCCAACGAGTTCGAGAAGGAAACCCCGTAGCAGCAGAACGATTCGTTAAAGAAGAAATCAACGAAATAGAGGAAGTTGTTAGGGATACCCATACCAAAATCATCATCTCAACTTGCAACAATTCTGCAGCGCTTCGCGATATGGGGTTTCAACCACAGGTGGTGGTGATTGATGGTGCATCTTCGGCGAGAGAACCGGATGGTATTATTCCACTTATATTTGAGCAAGCTCATGTTGTTCTGTATGGAAATGCGGAGAAGAAGAGGGTGCTGCCGTGGGTTAGATCTTTAGGAGGTAATGAGTTTGGTGCGCAGTTGTCGAGGAGTCTTTTTGAGAGACTGGTTGGGCTGGGGAATATTGAGGTGGTGAGGCTGGAGTAATGTTCTTTGCGGAACTTTGCTTGTAAATTTTGAGTGATAGAAACGGATTTTTGAATATTTGGAGGTAGTGCTTGTTGTAAGTGAAATCCTTGTTGAAGCGGATCGAGAACAAAGTTACAATTTGGGATTATTTGGTGAGGTTATTTGATCTCTGACGGATTCGAAATTCCGATCCTAGAGGACTTTTATAAGGAAGTTGATACAGAGGGCAAAAAGAACAGGGAAGAAGCGAAGAAGGGAAGCGGAAGCCCCTCTCCCCCGGCTCTCTAATTGTTTAAGAGTGTAATGAAGAATGAAAAATGGAACGTAGTAGGATATCCGAGGAAAGAAGGGCCAATCGAATCGAGTCAGATGAAATAAAAATAAAATAAAACACAATATATCCCCAACCCAATCTCAAAATCTTCTCTCTACAACCCCCCCTCCTTATCTCCCCTTTCCACTCCTCAAACCACAGATTGAACCCTCAATCATAATTTCCCACATATCCCTCTCATTCTCTCCCGCATAATTTATCTCTATCTCGAATAATGATAAACCTTACAAATATATTAACAAAGAGCGACGTGAGCTATATGATCTAATCTGAGTATTGGGATACTAATAACTTGATAACTTTAAGAATTATGGAATGGAGAAGTAGAGTAAAGTAGAATGAAGTATAGAAGTGGGATATATGTTGTTGTGAATATCTAGTTGTATTGTATTGTATAGCTCAGCTTTGAAATTTTGAGTTTATGTTTATGTTTATATTTATATCTATATTTAACTTAAAGTTTGGCTATCTGGGTAGGAAGTAGATGTATAGAGATTGATAGAATGAAATAGGATGGGGTGTGCTTGGTTTTCTGAGAGAGAGAGTGAGTGAGGAACTGATATTGTTAGTGAGTTATAAGGGTTCTTCTTTGTATGTACTATATGGAAGGGAAGGATAGTGGCATTGAATTGGAATTTAAGTTTAAATGATGTATGTATGCATTATAGAATAGAATATTGAAATGAGAAAGCAATATATTAAGAGAAGAGATGTTATAATTCTTATTTTTGATCTCTGTTTTATAGGATTATACATAGTATTAAGCGAAGATTTATCATACCCATCTCATCCTCATCTCACCATCACCTGCCCCTCAATTAACGAAAAACCCATCTTCCTTCCCCCCTCCTTCGTCTCTCCCCCAACATCCTTCCCAAACACCGTCCCCTCAAACCTCGGCACATCAAAAGTTCCCTCCGGATCCCTCCCTTCCCTCAAAATATATTCTCCCACTCTACTCCTACTCCCTCTAATCTCCCCCAACCACTCCGTCATCTCCAACGCCACTTTCTTATTCCCTCTCGCTCCCCCCTTAATCGCCGCTTCCATAACATGATACCTACTAACCTCATTCCTCAACATCATATCAAACGGCGTAGTCGTCGATCCCTCCTCCTTATAACACGCAATACTCATTCTCTCCAAATTTGGTCTTCCGAAAAGTAATCCCTTAATCTCATTACTATACCCATGATAATTGAAATGAATCGGTTTATCCTCCGTGAACAAACTATTAAACTCCTCCTGTGTCAAACTATGCGGATGTAGAGTTTCCGCTTCCAGAATCATCAAATCCGTTACATTAACCACTCTGATTCTCAATTCTGGACACTTCTTACGGAGTAAGGCAGCAGCAACCACAACTTCAAACATGAGTTCGGAACCGATTCCTACGAGAACAACATCAGGATCGAGTCCATCATCTGTACTGCAGAATTTCCAAATCGAAGCACCGGCTTGACAATGTTTGTCTGCTTCTTCAGGACTGAGGAAGACGGGTTGAGGTTGCTTGGATCCAACCATTAGGTTTATGTAGTTGGTTGATTTGAGACAATGAGAGATTGTTGAGAGGAAAGTATTTGCATCGGGTGGTAAGTAGACTCTTGCAGCTGTTGGTTTGAGATTGAGGACTGCACCGATGAATGAAGGATTTTGATGCGAGAATCCATTATGTTCTTGACGAGTCCATGTACTGGTTTCGATATAATTGAGAGATGAGAGATCTGCCCTGAAACGGGTTTCTCGAGCCATTTTGTTGAATTTACTATATTGAACCATCATGGTATGGATTATACCAAGGAAGGATTCATAAGATGGGAAAATTCCAGTACGTCCTGTGAGAGTATACCCTAGAAATTGTGAGTATGGATGCATAAGAAAGATGAGAAGAATATATCATCATACCTTGAAGGAAACCTTGACATGTATGTTCACTAAGAATTTCAATAACCCTTCCACCTTGAGCATGTGAAAATTCATCCCATTGAAAATCACGTCCTGTATGTTTGAATACTGCGTCAAGTTTATTACTGACAAGTTCATCTGGAGAGAAAAGACGAAGGGATTTTGGATTGTCAACCAAAGTTTGATCGATAAGATCACCAATAGCTTTCATGCAAGAAACTTCTGTTCCTTTTTCAACACCATACTTTTTCCAATCTGGTACTTTCAATGCTTCATGGTTTTTGTATGTTTCTGGTCTCTGACCGAGTTTTTTATGCTCGGGTGGGATGATTGCCTTGACAGAGTCAACAACATCACCAGATTCCGTAAATAATTTGGCTGGTCCGTATGATAAAAGCCATTTTTGGAGGTCAGCAAGTTGATCTTTGTTTGATTTAACGGCCATGAGAGGAACTTGATGGGCATGGAATGACCCTTCAACATATTCTCCATCAACAATCTTTGGACCACTCCATCCCTTGGGAGTTCTCATGATGATTACTGGCCACTATTTAGTGTTAGCATGTAAGATCTCATCTATGAATTGGGAGAATTACTCTTGGCTTCATAATTGGCTTTCCAGATCTGGCAGCTTTTTGAATTTTACGAATTTCATCAAGAGCCCATTGCATACTTGTTGCCATATCACGATCCTAAGATATTGTTAGTATGATTTCCTCAACACCAACACAATTCTCCCAACTTTCAAGCAATCAACTTACGATGTCTTCCAAATCCTCAACAAATCGACATTGATATCCATAACCAGTAAATAAAGATGCCAATTCCTTATCATCCATACAACCATAAATAGTTCTCTCAGAAATTTTGAAACCATTCACATGAACAATTGGAATAACCGCACCAGATTCCGCTGGATCGATATATTTAGCTGCATGCCATGCAGTAGCTGTTGGACCCGATTCCGCTTCGCCATCACCAACTACACAAGCAACCACCAAATCTGGATTATCCATCACCGCACCAAAAGCCACCGAAAGAGCATATCCAAGTTCTCCACCTTCATGGATAGAACCTGGAACTTCGGCACTGATGTGAGAAGGAAATCCAGATGGGGTACTGAAACCAGTAATGAGGCTATGAAGACCTTGCTTGTTGTTGGAATATTTGGGATAGAATTTTGCCAAAGTGCCTTCTAACCAAAGGGAAGAAAGAATTGCTGGAGCTCCATGACCAGGTCCAACAACATAGATCATGTCAAGATCATTCTTTTTCGTGAGATAGTTGAGATGAGCGTAAACCAAAGTAAGACCGGGACATGTTCCCCAATGACCCAAAAGTCTTGGTTTTATATCATCAAATGTGAGATCTCTTTCCAAATAAGCATTATCAGAAAGGAAAATCATAGCTATGAGATGTTAGCCTGGGTACAGTGATCTTCCTTTTCTATTACTTACCAGCAGCAATATAATTGCTAGCTCTACGGAATTCCTCAAGTCCTCTTAAATCATCATCGGGGATTTGTAACTTTTCCAATTTGACTGCTAAATCATTGACCGTTGCTGAACCAGGTATGTTGGAATCTAAAGCTTGAGGATTTGGTCTATCTATGATTTCTCCAGGCATATTTGAGTTTGTTGTGGATTGATTTTGAGGGGTGGTTTGAGGTTATTGTGATTGTAATTGTCGTTGTAGTTGTAGTTGTAGTTGTGGTCGTGGTCGTGGTCGTGATATCTTGATTTCGTTATTCGCGTCAATATATATCGTATACCTTGATATCAAGCAGACAATTTCGATATCTCCAAAAGCAAAGAGTTAGAAGAAAGACGAGCAAAGTATTGAGAGGAAGAAGAGAGACAATTGATGATTTCAAATATAGAATACACTTGAGTAAAGTAAAGATCAATTGAAAAGATAAACAAGAGACCACTACCCTCCTACTATTTCTCCAAACACAAAACAAGCTCTCGAGCTCTCCACTTCTTCCATCAACAAAGGAACAACTGCGTCACATCTATCATTCATCCATCATCATCATCCATCATACATGCTGGGTATGTACATATCAACAAACTAACGATGCCGATAAATCCGATACGATGCATTATACACATCGACTTCCATGCATCCACCATCCACAGCCAAGGCCAAGGCCCAACTAGATATCTCTTTCCAGTATTAAAAGGTTCTAGAAGGTATGGATTATGAGAAACACCGACATTCCCATTCACTCCATGAGTTTTGATGCTATTTGATGTAATTAGTTTGTGATGGAAGCTTACTAGAAAGTCTCGTATTAGGTAGAAAGAAAGCTTGCCGGTTGTATTAACGTCATACCCCTCTCTAATGGGTGGAGAAAGGATATGGCAAATTGTTACAACATTTGGGATTTGATTGAGATCCGACCATCTTTATATATGGTAGTAAATCAATTTTCCATCACAATCGCAGTCACTCAATCGAAAGAAGAAAGGATATATCGACTCTATTTCCTCCCCGGACGAAACGACGAAGAACCCCAACCCAACCCAACCCAACCATCAACATTTCACAGCATGAGGTAAGAATTGAAAGAATCAAGAGAATCCACCATCCAAGATTTGCAGCATCTAATTCCCCTTCCCCTGTGATAAAATAACCAGGCCACCCCCCTTGTAAATTCCCGCCCGTTCCCGATAATCCGGAAAAGCTTCTCGAGAGCTTTTACCCTGTAGCTTTGGTAAATCACTAAACGTAAACCAATCGATAAGTACCAATTCTCGGCTTCGATAAGGAATTCACGTACGACGCATGGTGGGGAATTTCTGGAACGTCATCTGTGCTGCTTTGCTTTGGCATGATACGATTATGGATGGGATGAGAGATGGAAAGGGATTGATTGTGGGATGATTTTATTTCGCGGATGTGTTTGTTTATCTAGGTATAGGTATACTTCGAAATATCAAGCTTGGTACTTTACTCTGGTTCATATATTTGGATTGTTTCTCTCTATCGGATCCATCGATATCGAAAATTGTGTGCCAGTGTCAGTCTCAAAGGAAGAAGACGATTGGGAATTTAATTCATGAATTTCTAGGATATCTACCTACTCACTCATCTGCGATCTCCATCATCCATTGGTGATCTTCGAACCTCAACATACAACAATATACAAAACACAATACCTACCACAAAACCACCCCTCCCCCCCCATCCACAATGTCCAAAATCATCCTCTCCATAAACGCCGGATCCTCCTCCGTCAAAATCTCCATCTTCTCCGCCTCGCAAGGCGACCCCTCCCCCAAACCTCTCGCCGAAGCCCAAATCTCCGGTCTCACCTCCCCACCCCCAACTCTCAAATACTCTCGCGGCGGAAAGTCCATAACCAAGAACCAAAAACTAGATTCCAACATCACCGACCAAAACTCCGCATTCCAATACATTCTCACCCACCTAATCAACGACTCCTCCTTCCCCCAGATCTCCCAACTCACCGACATCTCCCTCGCCAGCCACCGCGTCGTGCACGGCGGAGACTACCAAACCAGCCAACTCATCACCCGGGAAACCCTCCACCATCTCGAAACCCTCACCGATCTCGCTCCTCTGCACAACGCCTCCGCACTCTCCATCATCCAACACTGCATTACCCATCTGCCCTCGACCCGCAACATCGCAGTCTTCGACTCGCAATTCCACGCGACGATTCCAGAACACATTAGTACGTATCCGATTGATCAGGAAATCGCAAAGAAGAACGGATTGAGAAAATATGGATTCCACGGGATTTCCTATGCGTTTATCACGCGCAGTGTAGCGGAGTTTTTGGGGAAGAAGGAAGAGGAGACGAATATTATTGCGTTGCATTTGGGGAGTGGAGCGAGCGCGTGCGTGGTCAAGAATGGAAAGAGTTGGGATACGAGTATGGGGTTGACGCCGTTGGCGGGATTGCCGGGGGCGACGAGGAGTGGGAGTTTGGATCCGAGGTGTGTATTTCTCTTTTCCTATCTATATCTATCTGACTATTCATTTATTCCTCCCGACATTCCCCCTTTCCCAAACCCCCCTCTCCAATTCCCCCTCCTCATCACTTCCTAGCTAACCCTCTTCCCCCCACTAGTCTCGTCTTCCACTATGCCACCAACGTCGGCAAGCTCTCCCCCAACTCCACCTCCTCCCTGCACATTTCCCGCGCCGAAGAAATCCTCAACAAAGAATCCGGCTGGAAATCCCTCACGGGCACCACCGATTTCGGCACCATTACATCCTCCTCCTCCTCCGATCCTACCATGAAACTCGCATTCGATATCTTCGTCGATCGGATCCTCTCCTATATCGGACATTATTACATATCTCTGCATGGCAATATCGACGCGTTAGTTTTTGCAGGGGGATTGGAGAGAAGAGTGAGGTTTTGAGAGAGAGGGTGGGTGAGGAAATTAGGTGCTTGGGGTTTGAGATTGATGGGGAGAGGAATGCAAGGGAGATAGAGGGGACGGTGCAGGAGATTGGGAAGGAGGGTGCGAAGCATCGTATGTTGGTGTGTAAGACAGATGAACAATTTGAGATGGCGAGGCATTGTGTGGTTGATGAGGGACTTTTTGGGGAATGAGATTAGATGCGATGCGATGAGATGAGGGGAATCGAGTGGAATGATTGTGCGCTGCGAACATTGAGAAGTGGACTGTGAAGTAATGAAGCCATAAAATATCCAACAGAGTCAAGCGAATGAATGAATCAATGGAGAAAAGGAAAACAAGAAAGGTAGAAAGCAAATCAAAATCAATTTTTTTTGAGAATAAAAATAGAAAACTACAATGCCATGCACGCTACGCTACGCTCTATGGGTATATCTACAAAAAGATGAGAAGAGTACTATGATCCTCTATTTTGCATCGCGCCGTAAACATCCAAACCCCATAATAATGATATGTTTCCAGCGCCAGAGGCATACGCTTGCAAGAACATCAAGCAATCTTTTAATGTCATCATCAGTCCTGCAGTCCCCAAATTATCCATCTCTTCAAATAGTTCGATCCAACCTTGGATCTCCACTCATAAGTGTCCTCAAAACAACCAATCTTCACCACACCATACGAATTTCCAGCATCATCCAATAAAGACTGGCATTCTACTCCCCTTCAAATCAGGTGGAACACCACACTTGTCATCTTTATTCCAATCATGCAATAAAAGCCAACACAACATTCTGAACATTAGCGAAACCCAGATGATATTTCTCTGTTCCATTTCCAAGGAACTCAACTCCTTCCCATCAATATCACGTTTTGCGACCGCGGGTCGAATCTCCTCGAAATATATTTTCAACAGAGGTTCTTCCTTTTGGACAGAAACGATGGAATTTAAAGAGGAATCAGGATTGTCGAGGATTTTCGTCACTTTATCCAAATGAGCAACGACGACTTGAAGAACATCTTTTTGTCTGAGATCGTGGAAGAGGTACTCTGTTTGATCGTCTATGGCATCATGGATCATTTCGCGCATTTCAATGCTGAGATTATATTCATCAATTTCTTCTCCGTAATGAAGAGATTGGATTTCCTGCCATTTTGTGATAATTTTGGCGAAGGGATGAAGTTTGGAAGTTTCATCAATATCACTTTCCTGTTCGTGAATGTCCCTAAGCTTCTCCTGAAAGATGGTCATGAGTTTCGAGACTTTCCAAGCGGGTTTTGAACCGACTTTTTTCAACCAAGGATCTTGAGTTGGGTTGGGAATCATTCTGAAATTGCTTCCACGAATTCGAGTAACCTTCCCGAGCATGCCGATGATTTCGAAAGATACTATGCAAACAATCAGATATCAATTGGTAAGAAGAGTGAAAGTGGAACCTACCAGAGAAGATATGCCTGTGATCTTTTCTGTATCTCTTTAATATCTGAGGTGTACAGCCAAGTGACTCCAATGTCAAGTCCACATCATCTTGACTTCCAAACTTCAATTCCAAACTTTGAGATTCTGCATCCAGCTTTTCCAAGTATTCCTTTTCCTCGAATATATTGGGGACTGTTCCAAAGCATAATGCCTTGACATCATTCGATGGAATGACACGATCTTGCTCAAATTTAGATTTTCCCGTAACAGTAAACACAACCATAACACCTAAACCATGAACCGTCGTCGAGGTAAGAATAAAACCATTACCTTCAGCTCTGAGGTTCCATTGTATTTGATCAAACACCTTCCAATACATTCCTAAAAATGCCATCATTTCCACCAGGTGACATATAGCAGATGTAGCATATGGTTTAGTCATACTAGCTGGAACGAAATCCCAAGACCGAGTTTTGACCTGTAACCCCACAGCTAATTCGTACTCTGGACGTTTTATCGAAACCCCAGTTGGCCTCTTCAATCGAATGAGTTCGTCCCATTTTCGCGATTCTGATTCCTCAGTTTGTAGACTCGATAACAACGTAACCCAAGAAGCCCGCTCATCATCCGCCGTATGAATCCGCTGAATGGTTTCCTTATCTTTCTTCAGTTGATCATCCGGTTCGCGTACTTTGGTATTCTTGTATGATTCAGGAGTGCCATCGATATAATGAATTGGCTTATTCATAATTGGACCCCTTAGATTATCCGGCGGTGCAACGAGTATAACTGGAACTTCAAAAACAACCTCGACTCGAAACTCCCTTATCCTCAACTGTCGATGAGTTCCCGCGGACCAAAGCCCCATCACTGACTCGGCACATCGTCTATACCCCTCCGCACTCGAGAAATATTGCTGTGCCACCTGCAAACAAGTTGTCAAAAGTGCTATTACCGCAACAAGCAATGCTACAAGCCCAAACACATTTTGGTTGAGGTTATCCAAAGCCGACATATTTCTTGGCTCTCAGCCTCGTCTTCTCTCAAATTTCCTTTCGTTTCGCAGGCAGGTTCGTAAATATATAAAATAAAATCCCTTTGCAATCAAAACATCGCTCAAAATCGCTCAAAATCAAAATCAAATGGAAAAGACATGCAGAAAAGAATAAAAACAAAACGGCGCGGTCTCAAGATATATACACAACGTCTATTAATATTGCACAACATGAACATCATCAACAGCGACACGAAAAACTTACCTGAGCCCCCCAACCTTGTGTATCTATCACGCATGGAAATGGGTGAGGCTGAAGAATCCATGGGTTCTGAATGGTTTTGCTGCTTGCCAAGCCACTGAGCCACGAATGTACCCTGTGCTGCATGTCAGCTTGAAGGAAGAGGTGCAGTTCAAATCATTTTTCGAAATATGTAAGTTTTTGATACCAATTCAGTATCGAATCATCTGATGTTGATAGACGAACTCATTGAGTGTGGAGTGCAAGCACGGATGTGAACTAACATTTGAGTATTTGGTAAGAATTCATTACAAATGATTTGAAAATCAGAGACCTCCTTCATTAACAGTCTTTGGTCCAGAAAGTGCGTCTATTTCTTATCCTTCCCATTGTCTACAATGAATATGCAGAAGATGCACAACAATTAGATAGAAATGCATACCTACATCTAAGTTGATACATATCATGAGTTCATATCATTTGCACGTACATCACGATCACCATCACTTAGAGACTAGAATAGCAATTAAGATCATGATCAATTTTTTTGCCTATGAAATTCTGAATCCGTAAAACCATCGTGTCAAATACATGAATATCATTTGATAGTACATTGTTTATAATCATGATCATGATCTTGAAAATAAATTAAAAGTAAAAGACCGCAAACGTAAACAAATTGAAATTTTGTTTTGACACCCAGTTGTCATACGAATCAGATAGAGTTTGACCATAGACGCCAATCAAATTAAGATAATTCGAAAACGTCAATCAAAGCGTGTGCATCATCCTATGCAATATGCCCACCATCCATGATACCAACGCAAAGACTCTTAGAAAAGTCATTGGAGATCCTATGCAGTCAAAAGTAACCTTTCCTCCCCGAATATCACAATGTACATGTGAAGGAAGGCTCAAACGCCATGAGAATACAAGAATGGGAAATTCGAATTTGGTGGTGACAGATAAAAATCAAGACTAAAAGTTTAATCTTGAGATAAAAACATGATGTCGAGAAGTCATGATGATTATGAAACAACCCATTCAGAGTCCTGAAGGTCTTTTTGAACGTCATGAACATTATAATCACTGTCGACGTAAGTGAGGTCTGATGTCCACTTTTGTCCTGGAAGACTTCTTTCAGTCTTTGGTGGAATGGTGTACTCTTTCTCATCGGTTGAACTGGTGGTTCCAGCTCCCTCTGCACCAGTAATCTCCTTCTTATCCTTCTTTGCCTTCTTCTTTTTGCTTGAAACTTGCTCCCATTCACGAGAATCTTCAATGATGGTCTTGACACGCTCATCGTCGTCACCATATCCTTGCCATTGAGTACCAGTAACCTCGCTCTCAGAGAAGTTTTCAGCTGGAACAACAACCTTGACCTTCTCATTTGTCTTGTTTTCGGCGGTGTCGAGTAAATCGAATTTGTTGATGGGAGCGTTTGATGCGTTGGCGGCGGCGGAGGCAGTCCAAGCAGAGTTAGCAGCTTGGGAGGCCATGAATTGACTACCATCCTTAGCAGCTCTACCTTCAGCTTCTCTGGCGGTACGACGTTGCTGTTCTTCCTTGATCTTACGTTCCTTTTCCTCTTGCTCTCTCGCAACCTTGGCAGCTTCAATCTTGGCGCGGTTTTGTCTTTGCTTCTTGGTTTCGGCAGGTTGAGGAGCGGCCTTGGCCTTTTCTTTCTTGGCTGGCTTAGGGTTGGTAGGTTCAGTAACTTTCAAGACGGATGGACCAGGAGCGGCAGGTTCAAGCATATCGGCGATACCACTTGCGACAGTAGAAGTACCCTTGGTTGGGCCAACTTCAGGAGAATCAGTGAAGGATTGATCATCATCAGCATCGCCAGCGGTCATGTTTCCAGAGTCCTTAATCTCCTTTTCTTGTGCACGAGATTGTTTGACAGACTTTTGACGATTTGTAGATGAAGAGGAGTTACCAGAGAATTGAGTACCAGCTTGAGTTTTGGCGAATTGAAGAGCGAATTTACGGTTGTTTTCCGCATCATTATCATCATCATCGGAATCATTGGCGACAGGCTTAACAGGTTCTTGTTTGGGTTCGGGTTTTTGAGGAGCGGGAGTTTTCTTCTTTTCAGCTTTGGCAGAAGACTTTTTATCTTGTTCACCACTGCTCAAGCCATCCTTCTTGGATTTCTTGGGCTTTGGTTCCTTGCGCTCTTCGACAACCTTATTGACTTGTTTGACCGCAGTTTGAGCTTTAGCCTTGACCTTAGATTTGTTGTTAACGTAGTAGTATCCTGCTGCACCGAGGACAACAGTCCAGCCGATGACAGTGGTGAGTAAACTTGTGCTACTCATGATGAATAAACCGCAGATAGTTAGATGACGAAGTGATGTCGTAATCAAGCTCTAGAGCTCTCTCGAATTGGGGATCGATCGATCGACTTATTGGGACATCAGGAGATGTTCTGACGAATAGGTTTTCTGTTTCTTGCGGAATTGAATCAAAGATATTCAATTAATTGTCGAGATGACAATTTTTTGAAGAAGGATGTGAATATTTATGATATTCGAAAGAGAAAATGAAAGTCCTTGTAAGTAGGAGAGCAAAAGAAGATGGATGGGGGTTATTAACCCTATTTCGCCGTATGTGTTTTGAGGAGAAACAGTATCGAGATGTGGCCTTTAAGATTAAGTACAGACCAGGTCGACCCTAAAAAAGTATTCGGATCAAATCCTAATCATTATTGGAGCTCCCCATGTTTTCTAGCGTTGCTTCTAAGTGTATGCAGGGGAGCCTAATTGGGTAAGAGCTGTATCGGATCAATTAGATCCGAATCGCCGACACAGCTAAATGATTTCTTTTGATGGTCTCGAGGTGGTGAATTTGGATGAGCCACTGGTGAGCTGTCTGAGTGGATTACATAATGACAAAAGGTGGGGTGTCTGAATCATAAAGATACTTTCGTAACTGATTGCTTGATTGCTGTGCTAGACTGTTAGAGTCGACTACCTACTAGAGTAAACCGAGGGGATAAGAGATACATATGCATTTTTGGACGTCACACATACATACATCTTTGAACTCATGGTAACTACCTGTCTACAACACATCTGGTTAACAACCAATCCAGCTAATCATTACTCAGCTAGACTGTCTAGAGTGTTAGATCACTCCCTTGTCATTATCTTTATCATTCTTTTCTTTCCTCTACTTCCATTCTAACAATTCCTTTCTATCTCTACTATCAATCATCAAGTCTTCTTAGGAGGGGGACTATCAGAGAGAGAGTTTAGGAAGAACAAGAAGAAACTACAACCTCAATCAAGATGTCTCTTAATCGTATCATTATTGATACTGATCCTGGTGAGATCTTGGATTCATTGTTATTTGAAAGATCATAAAGCTGATTAGGAATTTCCCCAAAGGTATCGATGATGTTCTCGCCATTCTCTTAGCCTTGGCTGCAAAGCCAGAAGAGTTAGATGTCATGATGATTTCTATAACTTATGGAAATGTTGAAGTTGATAGGTATATTCAGAAAATCATATCGATGTTGTTGGCATTAACTTTGCTAATGAAACAAAAAGTTGTTTGAAGAATTGCGTAGCTTTATTTCATGTCCTTGAACAAGAATTGAAATGGAGACAGGGGCGTGGTCAACTTGAGGGCTTTGATGCAATGAAGAAGTCCAAGCCTATCGTGGCTGTTGGAGCAGATCATCCACTTGAGGATGAGATGCTCATGGCAGATTACTTCCGTAAGAGCTTTATTAATAACTCCACATGAAGTGTCAACTAATCCTAGCAACAGATGGCGTTGATGGTCTTGGTGGTGTTCATACTAGTGTAAGATAAACATGCCCCTTCATATTTCGCTCTTCTTGGGACTGCCACCTGACATATTTCTTTGTAGCATCCACATCTATCTCCCGCCGATACTTGGAAGACACTTTTCCAACCTCCTCCCGAAAATGCTACCGCTGAAGGAATTGCTGAAGCCCGCCTACTCGCTTCTCCATCTCCATCATTCACAGCTTCTCATGTTCCTGCTCATAAGGAAATGCTTCGCTTACTTCGAGAAAACCCTAAAGATACAATTACAATTGTTTGTGTTGGACCTTTGACCAATATTGCTTTGGCTGCTGCGGAAGATACTGAAACATTTTTAAGAGTCAAGGAAGTTGTAGTAATGGGTGGTGCGATTGACGTAGAGGGTAATATTACCCCTGTCGCTGAATTCAATACTTATGCAGATGCGGTCGCAACTGCCAGAGTATTTGCCCTTACAGGTCCAAACCCAATTACCACCATGCCACCGGTACCTTTGAATAAGTCAACTCTTCCGCCATATCCTACGAACCTCTCCAGGAAACTTAACTTAACATTATTCCCCCTGGATATTACAACTCCACATCAGTTAATGAAGTCAGACTTCCAAGCGAAGTTGAAACCCCTCATCAAAGCTGGAAGTCCTCTTGCAGAATGGGTATCTGTATTTGTACACAAGACTTATGAGAAAATGAATTCTCTTGGTAGAAATGCAACATCAAACCCAGGTCTCGAGTTACATGATCCACTTTGTATTTGGTATATGTTGACTCGTTCATCTCCTACTTGGATGACTTTCCCAAGAGGACCAGAAGATATTCGAGTTGAAACATCTGGTCAATGGACTAGAGGTATGCATATCGTTGATAGACGTATGAGAAAGAAGGCAGGAGTTGAACAAGTCAAGAGCCCTGGAGCTATTGATATTAGAGATCCAATGGAGAGCATTGCTTCCGTCGTTCATATTAACAACGATATTGGTGATGTTACAGCCGAGGAGCCTGGAGACAATGGTGGCTGGCTTAGCGTTCATAAGGGTAACAGAGTCAACAGAATTGTTGGTACTCCTGGAGAGGAAGCTTTTGGACCTTACCTTTTGGAAAGAGTTTTTGGATAAACTCTATGATTTGAATACCTAGTACTTTTGGATTACAGTACATGCCATCACGTTGGATAAAGATGTGTTCTACTTAGAAGCTTAATTTGGTAAATGAAAATTTGAGCTATCTGAAAACTGTCTTGACATGCTTTTTAGTTACATCTCAGTGATCCCATGATATAATCTCGAATTTGGTAGATTTCTCTTGTTATCCGATTTCGCTCGGGCTGTCTTCATGGCCAACACAAAATCAAAAGGATGGTTGTAAAAAGGACCCTTCTAATGGCACTCCATTCAACGCCAAATAATGCAGCATAAAGAACACTCCACCCATCTTGTACGCACCCACGCTCGTCCGTAATTTTGTATATGCCAAATTCTGGTATCTCTCCCCGCGCATTCTCCTTCTTTCCTTGGCCCTTTGAATTCCTTCATTCCCAGTCGTCCACCCAATACCATGCCCTTAGACACTGGCCCATAATCGCGAGTCCTCAATCAAGAACATTCAATTATGAATGTTTCGTCCCTCCAATGACAGCTCCCCTAACCTCCACCCAATTAATACTATCATCCAATTCCTCATCCACCAATCCAACTACAACCACATTGTCACCACGGATTAGATAGAGACCGTGTGGGACTTCACTGGAAGCTTCGATATCCTCTGGAGGTCGGATTATGCGCTCGATGGTTTGGGATAGGACCTGTGGTTTGTATTAGTAATTGGAGGGGTAGAGGGAAATGGTAACGTAGGGAGGAAGAGGGATAGAGAAATTGGAAAGTTTAGGGAAAGTGGAAAGGAATAAATACCAAATTAGTCTGTTGATCACAACTCAAAAGTGTACCAACCAGTGTTCTTGAATCCGCAGTTAAGATTAGAACTTTCTCTAAGGAGCTGTTAGGATGCGGTTGTAAGTCTTGCTTGTTTTTATAGTTTGCGCGTAAAACAGGAGTGATAAAATGAACAATCCAAAGAGGAAAGGAAAGAAAGAGGGCCAAAAAAGGGTAAACTTACTGTTTACATAGCTAGAGAGTGACATTTTGAGCTGGAGCTGCAGGTGCAACTCTGCTGTGAGAAATGATATCACGAGATGTCACTGTGCGGTTGATTACGGCTTATGTAATCAGATCACTTTTGATAAGGTGAATGTGAGCTTTGCTGCGTCTGCAATTTGGACTGGTAAAGGTTGTTATTGTTTTGGAAACTTCAACAATTCCACACTTACAATTCAATAACCAAAAAGTGATGGCATATAGAAATCCGCTTGACGGAGTTCGGGAGAACAAAGATCCGAAGCACGGTCCTCCATCAACTGTCAGGAACCCCCAGAGTTGCTCCATGAGAGCTATTCTGGCAAATCAACCAGAACTCCTCGCACAAGAGATATCCCAACTTACGGCACCGAATACTACTTGTCAGAGCAAACAGGTACTTCTGGACGATCTGTCTCTGGTAATTTCCAATTTAAAAAAGATCGCATCGCACCATTCACACCCATCAATTCCGAATTCGCACCAGGCACTGAACCCGACAATTCGGTCGCAACAGCCACATCCAACTTCCACGGAGTGATTGTTGATGAGCTCGATCGAAAATTAAAGAGAGATCAAGTGGCCGCAAGCAGAACAATTTTTGAGGACGAGCAGGCAGAACACCAGGATCTCACCTACATCGATTCCTTACAAGCTGCTCATATTTACCAAGCTTCTGACAAGCAAGTTGTAATTGGACAATTCCAACCTAGTCTTTCAAAGATAAACAGTTCCCTAGGTATTGAGGTCTGCCGCGGCTTTGATAGTGACTTTCAAGAAACCGGTCGTCTTCATCGAAAAGCCAATATTGACAAACTTACCGACCAGTTCGTTTTAGACTTGTCACAAGAAGGCAGAAATCGTTGGGAGCTCGAGGAAAATTGGCTCAAACAAGTGTGCGATATTCATCAGTCCCAGCTTGACGAAGATCGATACAACGCCCTTCTTTCCAACAACTATTGATATGTCGTTCCTATTTTCTGCCCCAGTCGATATTGATATCGTTCTGGAAGATGGAGATAGTCGGGAGACAGTAGAGGTTAAGAATAAGAGTAGTAAGGAAAGGGTACCGCTTTACAAAGATGGCGAATCAGTTAGAGGAGCTGTCACCATTAGACCTAAGGATGGGAAAAGGTTAGAGCACACGGGTATTAAAGTGCAGTTCATTGGAATGATTGGTAAGTCTCATCTTTCAGGAAAGATCTGGCCTACATCTCATCAACTTACTAACACGAAACCTAACAGAGATGTTTTACGATCGAGGCAACCACTACGAATTTCTGTCATTAGGACAAGAGCTTGCTGCTCCTGGTGATTTACAACACCCGCAAGCTTACGACTTCAATTTTAAAAATGTCGAAAAACAATACGAATCTTACAACGGCATTAATGTCAAGTTACGTTATTTCATCAAGGTCACCGTTTCTAGACGAATGGCAGATGTGATCCGCGAAAAAGACCTTTGGGTATTTTCTTACAGAATTCCTCCGGAGATGAATAGTTCTATCAAAATGGATGTTGGTATTGAGGATTGCTTGCATATCGAATTTGAATACTCGAAATCGAAATACCACCTCAAAGATGTTATTGTTGGCCGCATTTACTTTTTACTCGTTCGTCTCAAGATCAAACATATGGAATTGTCTATCATTCGACGCGAAACTACTGGAACGCCTCCCAACCAATACAATGAGAGTGAAACTTTGGTTCGATTTGAGATTATGGATGGTTCGCCATCAAGAGGAGAAACTATTCCTATTAGACTTTTCTTAGGCGGCTTTGATTTGACTCCTACTTTCCGCGAGGTCAACAAGAAATACTCCACCCGCTACTATTTGAGTTTAGTTCTCATCGATGAGGGTAAGTTTCCTCTCCATTTTAACTCTTTCTCACAACTAAGCTAATAATCAAACAGATGCCCGACGTTATTTCAAGCAATCCGAAATCGTTCTTTACCGTCAACAACCAGAAGATGCTTTAGCACTTGGTCAACAGACTAAGATTGCTGGGGCACATTCTGCTCCTAGTCCAGCGGCACAAAAACGGCTTTCTGCTCAATAAATATCCCTCGTCGATTCTCAACTAATTTCTTTTCTTCTTACTACGTTGATACCAACAGCCCGTTTTCCTTTCCTCTTCTTTCTCCTTTTTTCCTTTTTGCGTGCGCGTTTCATGAGGTTTACATAATGGGCAAAGGCAGATAAATCAATCAATCTGATCATTTGCGGAGGAAAAGCCAGTCCAGTAAAGATATTAAGACATGAGGAGATACCTATCTGATGACAAGAAAATTTTCATATGAGGGGCATTTTCATGGATGTACAATACGAGTCTCAAGGTAGTAGGCTTTGATAGATAGATAGATATGGCGAGGTTCTTCTTTACTCACATGCATACTGTTACTTTTCCTCTCAGGAGTAAGGACGAAAAATGCTCAGAGATTAGGAATCGCGTCTGCGTATTATGAATAAAGACATTAAGATCATGACTCGTGCTTTGGAATTATGTGCCCATTTATGTGTGATTCCTCGCCTTCACGTCCTGGGATGCACAGGTCGAATGAAAGATGACTGCACCAGCACCAACATCAAACTCCCGAACCGGAGCTAAGAAAAGCTTCACGTCATCTTGGTGAATTTCTATCATTTCATGTAAATTTTCTATCCTCACAACATTTGCCTTAAAGATACCAAAAAACCACACTCTGAAAGTGATCAATCTCATTCATGATCCATCAAAGAAATGCCTACCAAATTCAAAACCAATCCGATAATTTACGCCCCCCCCATTGCTTTGCTCTGCTTATTTCGTTTGTCACCAGGCTTACATTACTCCTTATTCATTTTATCCACGTCATTCCGGCTTTCTCATCTCCTCGCTCGCATTTCTCCTCGCTCATTTTCCTATTCCATCTCACATCTCCATCATATCCTCACCACCTCCACCACCACCTAGACTAAACCTCCCATTTTCAATCGCGGCCACACGATCCAACTCCTCCTGGTATCCTCTCCTAACATCCGCCAATGTAACCACTCTTCTCTTAACACCCCCATTCGCATACTCTTTGCCCCCCTTCAAAAGACCTCTACCAGCACCTCTTCCCCCATTCCCCCCTTCTTTTCCTTTCCCACCTTCACATAAAATCCACGCATGTTTCGGATCCACACAACTCAACGCATTGATAACTGCGACATATTGTTTCGTGACCAGTGTCTCTCCTTCCTCTCCTATCTCTCCACTTCCTATTTTACTATCACTTTCCGACGAAGCTTGAAGGCGATATAGTCTCTCCAACGAGATAGCTGCCGCACCACGGAAATCAGAACGTTGAATTCGCCACGCGTAAAGAATTTTATGGTACGGAACACCATTTGTAACTTCTACGATATTTGCGCATTTCTGGGAAAGGATGTCATCGACAAGATCTTGGAGACCAAGGAAAGGGAAAGAAATGAGTTGAGTAGCGTGGGAAGATTCACACATTTTGGTAATGAGCAATCTGAGGGAGGATGTTTGTAGAGCGGTATTGGTGAAGAGGGAGAGGGCTGAGTAAGCGAGTTCGTAGCGAGAGGTTTGAAGAGCAGCGTGAAAGAGACGACTGTGCATTTCGGTACCGAGTTGGGGATCATGTTGGTTGGGTTTGATAAATTGGAGGGCTAGGCGGGAGAAATCAATAACGAAGGAGTACATTTTTTCGTTGTCGTATAGAGAAACAATGTGGGAATAATATTCTGGAAGACCTGCGTTCAGAAGATTCTTTTCTGTCTCGTCTAAGAGGCCTGCACTGTGTGTTGCATGCCTGCCGTATAATGGAAATGCTGGAAATCATGGTTAGTTTTGACAGGCCCAAAACAATTTAATGGAAGTTGTAGCTTACCCATTCCGAATGCAGCCTTCTTAAAGTGCAATGCTGCTGTACGTGGGTCATTAGCAGCCAGGTATGCTCTTCCTTGAATGTATGTAGAGAACGAATCGTGCTCAGTGAAGCGTGAAAACTCCATTGCTAAATCGGACTGATTATGCTTCAATAAGAAACATTGAATGATAGCAGGTGAAGATTCGTATTTGCTATCAGGTTTGCATAGTTCAGTAATAAAGTCTGTCAAGGCTGTAGGCATCGATACTGCCTTGTCTAACCCGAATAAATGTCTATGAACACCTTCTAGAACAGTCACAGTCTCATAAGATATTGGACTTCTAGACAAACTAGATGTCGAATCATCCAATGATTTTGAGTTTTCGCGAGTGGGAAGGGGTATATCGATCTGGGTTTTGGCCAACCAAGAAACAAGTTCGAGCCTTTTGAGCAGAATCAAAAGTTGATTGAAGACCGCGCCAGTCTCAAATTGAATACCTTCTTCTCCATGGTTAATTTCAACCTCAATAAGTATTAATAAGAGAAGTTGATCAAGACAAATGCTCTTGTGTAGCTCAATAGTCTCTTGAACTCCTCTGACGATCAGTCGATTGCCGGCGTTGGCTAAAGGTAAAGGATGCTTCGAATCTTTTCCAATAGAAGTAATCATGGATTCAAGAAGAGCTTCGTACACGTGCGAATTGACATCCCTGAATGTACCTCCCAAATTTGTCACCAATTGATGATACTCTTCATCACCAATTTGATTCGAGTAATCACAATTATCATATAAGGTCTTCATCCTCGCTGATGGCAGAAAAGTTGGCTCCTCGTAAAGTTGACCCAATAAGGCAGAGCGGAAGCCATGATAAAGAACGTCTGGAACTGCCTCGCCGAATAGGGAACCAGCTGTGAGAAGAGTGGATACATACTCCATCCCAGCAATAGTTTGTTCAGGGTTATGCCATATGCGTTCTAACTCGCTACAACCTCGGACTGCTGATATTCCATCTGCTGATACAACCCAAGGCATCTCTCCCATAGGATCAATGGTTAAAGATAGGGCTTCACCTCTTTGTTTGTCTAACTCAACGAGTAGCCGGTAGAATCGTCTCCACTGCGCATCAGTGGCAAGGCGAAATTGTTCAAAATCGATACCTCCGTCTGATGCTCTACCTAACGTGGCAGTAGTTGCAATGCTTGAACATAAACGTTCAGGCAAAGGTGCGGATCTCCGCGATGTATCTCTCGATGTTCCTAGACCTCTTTCGTAGATGGCCAACCCAGTCTCGATGGTTGCATGGGTGAATTTACCAGGATACAATATGTACGCTAACCATTTGTCGGTCGAATCTAAAGCATCGCCAGGGTAGACGGTAGGTATGGGCGTTTGAGCCAAACTTTCGCCTACCATAGCTTCCCAGCCCTCATCCCACGATTGCTCAACTTCCTCTTCACCCCCACTCCCAAAGTAAAGCTTTTGAACTCGGTAGGTTGTATTATTTTTCCACAAAGTCCACAAACTCAAGGAATTTCTTGTTCTGTCCGGAATGACTGAAAAATCTGCCATAGTCCAAAGGTCTAACGTAGGCGCTTGAGGGACCAAGGTATTATTGGGGAAAGAATCTGATACGACGAGATCTCCATTTTGAGCGGCCGGAGTAACATGCCAAAATTTGAATTGTCCTTCACCAATTGGGGAGTATGTAACACATAGAGCGCTTTCATTATTATGGCCATAAACCTTGACCAATTGTGAATATGAAGGGTCGATCACGGATTTTCTAGGGTTCTTGGGATCTATTTCCTGGCCGAGAATATCACCAACGTATGCGATTCGTCCGGTAGACAAGTTCCAAATTCGAAGATTGTGATCCAAAGATACCGTGAAAGCATAGGATTGCCCATCGATGCTAGCTGATGGTGAAGATATAGAAGTCACTGCGGATAATTCAATGTTGCTGTTTGCGTATCGAATAGTGTTGCTTCCTTGGAAAGGCATCAGGGCCTTTAACCCATCTCTCCATCCACCTGGATTGTAATGTAGTTCTTTCCACTCGGAGCCTATTTTACCTGTCAGTTATTCACATCATTTCCAGAAAGTAGCTTTGACATACCATCTCCACCAGATTTTCTGTCTAACTTAAGAAGCCCCCCATCGAAATTAGAGATCAATAACTCATTCGCACTCAGCGCAACCATTCTATGAGGCTTCTTGAAGCTGAATACCGATGATATATATGACTTGCACCAATTTCCAACATTATTTTCAGTGCTCGAAGGATTGCGAAAGAAATCTGGCCAAAGTCTCAAGGTATAAAGGTGATGTGTTTCCGTCAAAACAAATGCGCTGACATAGTCGTGCTCCTTACAATCCGCGAAAGCAATGCACCCGGGCTTGATAGCACTTGGAAATTGTAATCTCAAAGTAAGATGTGCATCTGTCGTATTTTGTTGTTTCGATACATCGACCGCTTGAACTGATAGCACCTTTCCATCCTCCAACACTCTCCATAAATAGCTTCGGGGAAAGACATCTTGTATACGATGGTAAATAGATCCAGCAGTAGCTAAGTATTTTTGTTTGAAAGTTTTCTCATCCTCTGCGATAGGTGATTCTGTAATATGAGGTCGCTTTTGTACTATTCTTGAGGCTGGAGTACCATGTGCAGGTAAACGAATCGCAATTGTAGAATTTTGAATGGATGAATCGAGGTTTAGTCGTATCTCCTTATAGGAATAGAAATGTCCCTTATCAGCCATCTTATCCCCATCAATCGCTAGTCTCATGAAGAGTTTTGGTGAGTGTTGAGAGGTTGGCGCATGCTTTGTTTTGACGCGGTTCTTTCTAGAGATCGCGGCGAGCTTCACTTTTTAGGTAGGCGGCCGCTAGCGCGCTTTTCCAGTTACTGTATATATTTCATTGTAAGCTCTGACTTAATGCAAACTTCCTATCAAAGTAGGTGTTACCCATAGGTATAGAAATTGATATGTACTACTAAATTACTGAATACAAACAATTCTATTTATAAAGGTTTCGCATTGTTGAAAATGATAGAGCCGTTTCCTCCCAAAGTTCACCCTAAAAGCTCCATTTGTCACCCATGACCGCTAAAGAGCAAAGAAAATCAAATAACCATTAGAACCCCATAAAATCATGATGCATCTACCCCAATCAAGTACCGCCCTCTAATCCTTCTCA